CTAATTGACATCAACATATTTTCCTGTACACACAAGTTGTGGACTCCGCATTTACATTGAATGCAAGCATGATTCGGATTGAGAGAGTCATATTTGCAGTTTCGGATGCTGCAAAAGCCATTTGAATCTGCAACTTTGGCCCAATATCTTCTACCGACTAATTTGGCAGCAGTATTTTCCTTGGCCACCGGGTGGTAATGTTTTCGCGCTGTAATTCTGTTTGTTCAAACCAATGTTGTAATGAAGGTTATCATCGTCCTCGCTATCAGAGTCTAATGGAAGAATTGACAAGGCATTCATCATGATACACTAGTGAAAAGAGCAGAAGATCAAGTGCAATGGAGTCTTTTCGTATTATTTTGATGTGAATTGTGAGTCGAGGTCTTCGAAACGCTATTGAGAATTGGCCAATCAAAATCATTCAATTTCAAAATGCAGGATGGATGCAGATTCCTGCAGCTCGCGGCAAAATGGATGCAGCCTGCAGGGGCACCCGGAAGTGGATTCTGCATGCTGCAAATCCGCGTGCAGGCTGCACGTTTTTTTTTTCCGAAAACAGGATTCCTTTATTGTTGAAAGAAATGTCTACCGCAGTGCCTATACCCATCATTCGTCATTGAACATTGAACATTGAACATTGAACATGCTCAACCAAATTCAAGAATTTGTCTGTCGAACTGCAGCTGATTTGTGAAACGAAAATGTCGGTGGAAGGAATCAATCAATCAATCAATTAAAGCTGTGTGTGTTCAAACAACATGCGTTTCGTTGGAACTCATTTTGTGACGCCCGCATGACGACATTATTGTGTAATTGTCCACACAACAAATTTAAATCCTGATGCAGCATGATCGCTTCGTCTATTGTCACCACCGAAAGAATACGGAATGTTCATTACCATATATACTCCTAGCATTATCAGCATGGAATCATAAGATATGGGTCTCATCATAACTTGAACCGGAAAAAATCCAATTACCCGCAATGATGATGGTAGCAATGATAACAGCAGCAGTAGTGACGAGCGACGACGACTCCAACTCTTTCCACAATTTTCCCAAACCCACCTGGTCAATATTGTACGCGTCTCTCGCCGATAATCCCGGAAAAAGAACTCGATCGACCGACTGTCCAAAATGGTTCTCATTGATATCATGAAGTCCATAGATCCAGATGGGTTCAAGCATCGATCCTTGGGTCAAGACGGCGTTGCCAATGTATATGCTACACATGCTTGATAAAGTTACTCAATACCCCAATGACGACGATGATTATGATAAGCCTCGACGACCAAGGTACAGCACGTGGAAAATTCAGATAAGTTGTGCACTAGTTGTGCATGGAGAAGGAACTGGACGTATATAGTAGTGGCGGAAGTGGGTTTGTGATGATCGAGAAATATTTAGCTATAACGTTATTGGTTGACTTCCGCTACTAGATTGATGCTCTTGCATTTGTAGCGAAACTTATTTTGGGATTGGCCACAGCTTCCTTATATATCGTTTTACACCTTCGAGCTGGCATTCATATTGACATCCCCCTCAGGTATAGTGGGCATCTTCTTGATTATTTTCCAGTTCTCGAAACGTCCTTTTGTGATGTTACCATTCATTGCTGTATGTACACCTAAGCCTTCGAACCTACCTTCGACAAAGTCACCATTGAATATGCCCATTTGAATGTCATTGTATAGTCCTTTTCCATGCCGGGTATTCTTTTGGTAATCACCAATGTACCTGGAGTACTTTGTGATGTAAGATACACAGCCATCCGCCTTGCCCTTCAAAAAGGACCCAAAACACATATCGTCATTCTCATAGATTGCACATCCTTGGCCTTGAAAGACTCCTTGTGCCCTGTGAAAGAAGAGGAAAAGAGGTGAGTGGTGTTGACGACGTAATGTTTGGAGCAAGCAAATGCTCATAGTTACATACCAATTTCCGATGAGAATCCGGCCATTATCGTAAATCATGGAACCCACGCCATGAGGCTTGTTTTCCATCATTGAGCCAGTGTATTCTCTGTCTTTCTTGGCTCCCTCCTTGCGTCCCATTCTGACGTTCTTCTCAATTTGGATGTGTTGCATGTCGTGTTCGATCTGGAAGGACAGAACGGAATGACTGTCATGACTAGATTTCGTTTTCGGGTCATCCGGTTTCTCAGGTTTTGCTACTTTCACTTTCTCTGGAGCAATGTTTCTGGCAGATTTCCGAGGTCTCTCTTGTTGTTGCAACAAGGACTTCTTTGCTGCCTTTAGACTCTCTTGAGCTTCATCGTCCAATTTCAAAATGCTGCCACTGGGTCTTTCTACCGCTGTTCCTGCAGCCTCTTGATCGGCTGAGCTGACAATGAATAGAAGCGTTTGCGCGAGTTGCTCGCCTCCTTCGTCGGACAACAGCTTCAACAGAGTACCTTTTGCCGAACGATCGTCTTCGTCACGGGACACTTTGTTGCCGATTACTACCGTCTCCTCATCGTCAAACACATCCCAATCAACCGGAGTCAGGAATCGACGTGATTCACTATCCAAAGATATTGATTCCATTCCAGAATTCAACTCGTCGTCCTCCTTTCGAGTTGGTGGTTGTGCCTCAAGCGGTGCCTCAAGCGGTGCCTCGAGCGGTGCCTCAAGCGGTGCCTCAAACGATGGTACAGCTTCGGGAAGAATGGGTTCTTGGTTCAAATCTTGGTTGGGATCGTGCTTAAAATCTTCTTCAGCCTGCTTCTGCAACTTGAATTTCAAATTGCCGAATTGCTTTCGTACAATTGACACCGCATCTTCGTTGGTCAGCACAAAGTACCGGCGATGTTCCGAATCCCATTTCAAGAATCTCCCATCCACGCCCAGTACGATTTCGTCAACAATTTCTCTCTTTCTCGGTAAGCTAGAGGCATGAAACTCAGCAGACCATGCTATAATGGTTTCCCGAAGGATGCGGTTACCTTCATGTTTCCCCTTGCCCTTGTGGGATAGTACATCGTTTGGATTGATCAACGTTTGTGCAACGGTTTTAGCGTTGTTATTCATGTTGTTGTTATCATTGCTCATGGTCTTCAATATGTTTAGATGTTGACTGTAGGAGTATTAGTAGTTGCAAGAAATCGTCGATTCAGTTGTCTTGTCGTTTGGACAGAACTGTGAACATTCCGTTTTATGAGCATCATCGTACCATGCCGAAACATATTTTATTTTAATGATTCTCTTCTGTAGGAAATATATTTCTACAAATCCGCATGTGTGAAGGCTACCAGCAGGCATCAAACATAAATGACCAGAATCCTTCATAGAAAGTCATAAAAAATCCCCGTACAAAGCTACGACGTAAATATTTTTAGCTGAACCCGATCCCTGAAGGCTTAAATGTGTCTGGTTGGAGAAAAATAAAATCTTCAAACGCGCGGTTTCAAGGAAATAAAACATGATGTGCACGCGCTTTGGAAGAAATATATTTCCGCGTCATCTCGGCCTCTCTTGTCAGCGTACGTGCGATGGCTTTCGAAAACAACCGACGAGCAGAAACGCGAAAACTTGCCAACAGCAGCCGCATCAAGACACCATAAAAGTTATACCTGGTACAGTATGCGTCGACATAATACCTACCGGTAGGTTCGTAGAGCGGAAAAGAGGATCGTAAAGTTCAAAGTGGCTCTTCCTTTGTTGTCGAACGACGTGTCTATATGTTATACCAGTAGTCGTCCATCATTCATCGTCCATCATTCATCATACCCAACCAAAATCCAAGAAATCGTCTGTCGAACTGCAGCTGATTTGTGAACCGCAATGTGCGCGGAAGGAATGAATGAATCAATGAAGCAATCAATTGCAGTCAATAAATCAATCAAGAAACCATATATTCCAAAGGATCCAGCGATGGCCATGGTGAGCATGAAAGAGCAACAGCAACAGCAACAGCAACAAGTATTAATCCGTTGCATGACAGAACAGAATAGAATAGAATAAATCAGATCAGATCAGATCACATGATCGCTTCATCACTCCTAGCATCATCCGCATGGAATCATAATGATATATATATGGCGGGTCTGATCATTACTCGAACCGGAAAGATGAAACGAATCCAACAATGATTACTGTATAAAATATTCATGGTATTCATAACATGCAGTTGAAAGTAGGATATTATATATATTTTATACTGTAGCTTTTAGTATCGTTTAATCTTTTTGGATTGCTTTGACGACTTCTTTTCATAATCCAATTCCAAATAAAAGGTTTCTTTGATTTCCTTGCCCGTCGCTGGATCCACCGATCGCTGTTCGTGGAGTTTCATTTTGTAGACGGATTGTTCCGGAGTAGGATTGAATTGATTGTTCTCAAAGAACTGTTGGACCCGCGATCGATCCGGATCCGACAGTTTGTTGGAGCGTTCTCGCAACAAAATTTTCCATTCTGGTTGTGGTTGTTGCTGATCTTGCTGTTCTTGTGCTTGCTGTTCTTGTACTAGGGCAGCGGCTGCTGATACCGCTGGCATTCCTGATGGTTCGGGTATTGGAGTTATTTCCTGAGGTAATGGTAGTTCCTCAGACTGTGGTGGTTTTGTTTCTGGTTCTTTTGGCGCTAACGTAGCAGCAGTTGCTGCACCTGTTGTTGCTGTTGTTGTTGTCTTTTCATTATTCGGCTTGGACCTCTTCAAGCCTTGTAGTTTGGCCGCTTCCATGATGCGTCGCTTCTTGGACATTTTGCTCAACGCTTGTTCCTTTTGGCGTTCGACCGTTTGTTGGTGCAGGTTGCTCACCGTGTCGACATCGAGCATTTTCATTTTGGACTTGCCCGACGCAAATCGTCCTCGAGGAGCAGCAGCACCATCGCGTGCGGCCAATCCTCCCTTGCCCAACTTTTTGGAAAGTAGTCCCGCCGCCGCAGTAGTACTAGTAGTAGTACTAGCACTGTTACTACTCTTGGCCCCAGCTGCTCCGGGTGCCGTCTTACTTGTCACAGCAGCTGTTGTAGTTGTAGTACCAGTAGTAGTAGTACTAGTAGTTGTAGTTCCAGCTGTACGGGCCTTGTAACTGGTTCCGGCAATCAAGGATTGGGCCCCTCCCTTGCGGCGGACCAATTTGTTGGTGCGGCCCGCCAGCTGAGCTTTGCGAGCGGCTGGATTGGACCGCGTGAGAAACATGCTCGAGGTGGATTTGGGAGTCGCCTTCTTGACCAAATTGGCCGGTTTGAACCCGGGGGGAAGGTTGGTACGACCCAGTGCCGCTGCGGTGGTCGATGTTGTGGTACTACTTGGCAGCGTGACTCCTGGTAACAAAATGGGACCATGTTCTTGGGCTTCCTTGGCTCGCTGCGCTTCGAGCTGCTCATCGATCTTGAGAATGTCCGCATCCAAATTGGCGGTGAAATGTGGATTGCTATAAGGGTCTAGTTGTGCCTTTTTTCGAAAATCGTCCGATACCATGGAGTATTTGTAGGGTATGTAATAGGCATTCAAATCGGGAGGATATTCTCCGCCGTTGATCTCTTTTGTTTCCCGCATGCACTTCATGACACGTTCGCAAATGTCTTCTGCCGCCTTGTCCAGCTTTCGTTGTGCATATTCTCCCCGACAAGAGCAACGACTGTCATTATCATTATTATTATCATCGTCATCGTCATCATTTGTTTTGAACATGATCCCTTGAATTATCCCAGCAATGCATTTGGACCAAGGCTCTTCGCTCTTTTGTTGTGCGGTCCTCAGTACTTGCAAGACCTTTTCGTCCAACTCTGGTTCCGGTTCCAATCCCAGCAGTCCAATCAATATTCTCAATTGACTGACCTTGTCGGTTCGCAACAACACGTTGTTGAGGTTTTCCAAAAATTCGGGAGGCGTCATGGTTTTCCGCAGTGCCGAGGTTGTGACGGCTTTGGACAAGTCCAAGGAAGAAAAGGGTCCGCGGAGTTTGGATTCAATGTTGGTGAGAAACAGATCCAGATCCTCTTTGTGTTTGTCGCTGTTGTTATTGCTGTTGTTGCTGTTGTTGTTGCCATTGTTTTGGGATGAGAAGGACGCCATGGTGATACTGGTGATAGTGGTGGTATGGAAGAAGGGCTAGTAGAGTGTATTGTGGTTGTTGAATACAGTGGCAGGATGATGGGTATGATATGATGATGGCTATTATGCATATATAGGTATAGAGACTATGAACCGTATTGTACATATATGCGCAGTCGATATGCGATTTTGGGTGCTAGTTGGGAATCTGGAATCTAAATGTTCGATGATGTGTTGTTAAGATCGACGATCTTTTGTACAGTAGTTGCGATGAAGTCGTTTCCTGTATCTCGTCTGGCAGTCGTCAAAAACTGCCACGACTCACTCACTGCATGCATGCAATGAATGCAAGAAGATGATTGGCTGAGAAGTGTCCGAGTACTTCAAAGGAGCGTGACTTCGACTGACGGTGCGATGATGACGCGATGAAAGAAAGTGAAAGAATTCCGCATGGATCCAAACCAAAACATCATACAGTAATCGATTTTGATTCACTTTATCATCGATGCGTCTTCGTGTGCTCTCATCTACTTTTCATCTTTCTACCTTGGTCACCTCCTCATCTCCACGCAATAAAAGATTCATGACGTCTCTAGCAAACAACGAAGACGAATACGTTCCACCCAAGGTTTGGAAGGTCGATGGTGAGAATGGTGGAAAATTTGCATCCATCAATAGTCCGACGGCAGGTGCTAGAGAAACTAAGGAACTGCCCAAAGGAAAGCATCCTCTTCAATTGTACAGTTTGGGAACTCCCAATGGTCAGGTAAGCACGAAGCGTAGAATCGATCGTTATTTACTTGTTTTTGTTTTTTGTACAGTACGCATGTAATTGCCTTATTCTCACCTAACCATGCTGTACTCCAGAAAGTTACCATTTTCCTTGAAGAGATGTTGCTATTGGGCAACAAGGAGGCCGAATACGATGCTTGGCTCATTAATATTGGAGAAGGAGATCAATTCGGATCAGACTTTGTGGATTTGAACCCCAATTCCAAGATTCCCGCCCTTTTGGATACTACCACCGATACTCGAATGTTTGAAAGTGGTTCCATTTTGCTACAGTTGAGTGAGAAATTTGATAATGCCTTTTTGCCGAAAGAGATGCGCAGTGAGGTCTTGAATTGGCTCTTTTGGCAAATGGGAAGTGCTCCGTACGTGGGAGGTGGCTTCGGTCACTTTTACGCCTACGCGCCCTACAAGGTAAGATGATTTTTTAATTTTTTTACATGTGATCATCACAGAAAGTGTCCCACGGAATCCGACAATGATTGCTCACAAACTACTGCAACTACCTGCCTGCCACTTATTTTTATAGATGAAGTACCCTATCGATCGCTTTACCATGGAGACGAAACGTCAATTGGACGTTCTCGAAAAGCAACTCATCAAGACGAACAAGTTCATTGCAGGAGATCAGTACACCCTGGCAGACATTGCCATTTGGCCCTGGTATGGGAGCTTGGTTTTGGGAAATGTGTATCCCAATTCAGAAGTCTTTTTGAATTGCGAAGAAGACTATCCCAATGTCCTTCGATGGGCCAAAGAAGTCATGGCTCGACCTGCCGTCAATCGAGGAAAGCGTGTCAACAAGAGCTGGGGCGAAGAAGGCGAAAATTTGAAGGAACGCCACGATGCCTCGGACTTTGACGCCTTGACCAATTTGTAAATGAGATACAAGTACAAATATTACTACAAGTATATTGACCATCATGTGTCATCATAATAATAGTAACATATATTATTTTATGCTCTCTTGTATTGTCTTGTCTTGTCTTCTCTTGAATCAATGAATGAATCAATCAATCAATCTGAAATCAGTCAATCCAGACATTATGACGGGTATTCATCCGTTAACAACGAACACCCAGCCGGCGACGAAAAGATATACAATATGATATCTATGACCCGCCGCATCATCAAACAGATCGCGAGTTTCTGAGAAATGTCATTTTTCAAAACCTATACTGCACTGTATTTTCTTACAAGCAGCTATGAGGCTGTCTACAACATGCTTCTTTTGGGGGCTGCTATCAGCCATGGCTGTCCTTCCTGTAGCCCACGGAAACCTGTGTTTTATGCTTTATCAAATGGCAGGTACGTCTTGCTTGGTGATTCATTCATCGATTTGTGGGATTGATTGATTGATTGATTGATTGATTCATTCATTCATGCATCGTTCAATTGATTGACGGAAAGTGGTGGTGGTGGTGGTAAGATATTGTTTGTTGTTTGACACGACCGCCAATCTTACCCAACTATATTTCTTTGTATTTACATAACACAGACAATGACTTGGAATTTTACATTCGTCAAGATCTGGAAGAATATAACAATTCTCCAATGATTCAAGACATTACCACCAACACCTGGGTGTACTTTGATCATCGAAACTTTGACACGACTCCGGTGGAGGAAGAGATTGCTGAAAACCTCCCCTTTGTCTACGACAGTCAAGGAAATTCGTTGAGCAGTGCCAAACCAGATGGCTCCTTTTATTATCGTTACGATCATGCTCTTGGGCTTTTAGTGGTCGATTCCGATCTGGGAGAACTCAACTCGGATGTTCCCCAAACCGTTTATGACTTTGCCACCAAAGCTCTGGCCGACTGCAAGGCATCTGGTTCTACGGAATACTTTATTGCCTTTTCGTCTCACGGAACTGGCTTTGAAGGGTTTGGAGGGGATGAGAATACGAGACGACGAAAACTAGAAGGTGTCCAAACCAACAATGACATTGTATCGGCACTTCAAATGGCCCTAGATGACAATGGAATTGACAAGTTTGATGTGATTGGATTTGATGCTTGTCTCATGATGGCATATGGTGCTCTCGATGATTACACGTCGATATCAAGGTATTTTATTGCTAGTGAAGAAGTGGAACCAGGACACGGTACGTTGTTGCACTGAATCTCTTGGTCGTCGTTTCGTTCATCTTGATTGCTATGAACTAATTTATTTCCATGACTGATCATGTCAATACAGGATGGTCATACTCTAGTTTGACAGCGCAACCAGCGTTGGATACGGCACAATCCATTGTCAACAGCTATATCAACGACATGCAAGGCGATGAGCACCAAACACCAAAGACATTGGCCATTGCAGACATGGTCAAGTACGAAGCTTTTTCGGCAGCATGGAATAGTATTTCAAAAGAAATCAAGGACTTGATGGGGTCCAATGATGCGGAAGTGGGAATTGCCTTTAGCCGTGCTCGCGCCACTGTCTACAATTTTGCTAGCTCCTATGACGAGGATGATGCCAAGGATAAGGCAGCTGTGGACATGTTCGGTCTGATCACTGCTTTTGAACGACTGTGCCGACCTAATTCAGGAAGTAATGTTGCCACACTTTTGAGCAACGTCAAGATTGCCTACGCGGACATGTTTGTAGACCGACAAACTGGACCCAATACCCCAACGTCCTTGACGGGAATGCACGTTTTCTTTCCCAGTCGGGCTCGGTACTCTTCCATGGACTTTGATTGGGACCAGCTTTTGTTCAACGACGCTGTCACCGCAACTACCTCTGCCCCTGAATGGCTGAATCTTATGAAGGCATATTACTCGTTTTCTACTCCTGCAGCTGGTGGAAGTACCGTCTGTGGCACTTCGACTGGAACCACTGATACTCCTTCTGGTTCTGCCTTACTGATAGATTCCACACTGTCTGGCTCTCCGGCTAGCGGAATGGACTACAAGGCTACCGTTGCTCGCTCGGTGGATACAATCTTTGTCGAATACGGTATGAACTTGACACCACTGTTAAGTGCAAGGAGACGCAATCGTCGTTTGGGACGAGACGGTGTTGTTGGTCGCCACCATCAAACCCAGCATGCGGAACATCCTAGATACATGGCACGCCGTGCAAACCGAAATCGTAAGCTACAAACTTCGGACGATTTCGTTTACTTCTTTTCTGGAGACATTGTTGGCTCTTTCTCTGGCTCCGAATACTTTGCCAACTGGGATGGTAGCTTCTTTGCAGTCGGCAATTCTGCCGACGGGTATAAGGACATTTATGTCTTTGACTATGGAGAAGGATTGAAGGAATTCCCTGTCATGTACTTCCCCCCCAGCAAACCAGTCACGGGAGACGATGTCGTTGCTATGAACACCTATGCTGATGCCGAAGCGGCAGGCGCTACCTATGGATATGTGTCTTTCAGCGAAAATAACTTGGTCAATGGAAGGATTACCGCTGGTATTGGACTGTACACCGTCTCTGTTAGTGGTGATACCTTCAGCGAGCTTCCTCGTTCCCGAGGAGGCCAAATTGTGCCTATCAATTTTGTGGACGCCTCGTTGGATGGAGAAGACTACGAGTACTTTCTTGGCGGATTCTTTGGCGACAACATCATCGAATGGAATGCAAACTCGGTAGTTGAAATTAATTTGATCCGTGGCCTCGATTACAAGAACCAACAACAAGGTGAATCCTTCACTTTTGATGTTGTTGCAACCGACGATGACACTGGCACTACCACTGTTGTCTTGTTTGAAGTGGACGACGATGGGACAATTCTTGACAACTCGACTTTTACAGAGGAAGGTAATGCTAATACTGGCGGCGGTAGCGGCGGCGGTGGTGGCGGCTCAGGCTCAGGCTCTGGTGCTCGTCACCTTGGTGTCACACTCGCCGCCTCTTTTGTCGGTTTGCTGATTGCTCTATTGTAAGCCTGGGCGCTCTTTATCTTGCTGCAAGATAGTCTATCTTGCAATCGTACGTAATCCAATATTATCGAGTTCTATTTTTTTTCTTCATTATTTGCCTTCGAACAGGTCTACAAGTTCTTTTTTGTTCACCTTCCCCATTGCATTCTTCGGTATTGCATCCAACCATATGAGTGAAGTCGGCGTCTTGTGCTTTTCCAAACGTGATGCACACCAATCTTGAATGTCTTCCAGAGACAGATCACTGGACGATGACTGTCGACCAATCATACCAACCTTCTGCCCCCACACATCATCGGGAACGCCAATCACAACTGCTTCCAAAACTTCTTCATTTTCCAATAGTACTCTCTCCACTTCCAATGCTGACAGCTTGTGCCCTCCAATCTTGAGAATGTCCACTGACGCCCGACCTAATATTCGGTAGCTATCGATGCTGGCATTGTACTCGGCGACGTCACCCGTGTCGAAGTATCCGTCTTCTGAAAAGGCTTCGGCTGTGGCATCAGGTCGATTCCAATACTCTTGGAATACCGTGGGACCCTTCACTTGGAGTGCTCCTGGTGTTCCATCGATTGGGTCCAGAATGCTGCCGTCGTCTTGGTCGACGAGCCGGACACCAACGGAGGGGAGCGGCAGTCCAACGTGGCCCGGATGTCTTTGTTGTGGAGTATTGGCGTCGCTGATCGTATCTTCTTGGTAAGGATTGCTCAAGGCCATTGCAAACTCGGTCATACCGTAGCGTTCCAATAAGGTGTGCCCTGTCAAGTTCTGCCACTGTTCCAAAATGGACACGGGCAATGCCGCAGATCCAGACACTTGGAGCCGCATTGGGTACAATGTTTGATCGACCGCTTTTTGGACGATTGAAGGCGGCAGATCCTTTGCTGCTTCTAAGAGCTTGGCATAAATTGTTGGTACTGCCATGAAAGTAGTTGGCAAGGTAGCACCAGAATTGGTATCAGCCCACTGATGCCATAGCTGGTTGGCATCAAACGGTTGAAACTGCACTTGCGCTCCAGCATAGGCAGCACATGATAGGATATTCACGACGCCGTGGACATGATGCAAGGGTAGTACGTGCAAGGCGGCATCTGATGGTTTCCATTCCCAGGCAGCCACGAGGTCAGTGATTTGATGATACAAATTGCTTTGAGTGTGAAGGACTCCCTTTGGTTTCCCCGTCGTTCCAGAGGTGTAAAGCAGTAGTGCAGGAGTATCCATGCGTGCTCCTCTATCTTCCAGCAGATCCTTTGGCTTTGTGAATGCTGCTGCTGATGATATGATATCATCAACGTAAACAACTCTATCGACCATCCTTAGATTTATGGCTGCTTGCAGTACAGATGAACAGTTCGGAGCCAATTCGCTCACAATAATAAATGCCGGATCAGAATCTTGCAAGACATGCTCCAATTCCGGAATTTTTTGAGATATTGACAACGGCACAGAAGCTTTTGCGGCTCCAAAACAACCCCATTGACAAGCAATGTAATCAGATCCTGGAAGGGTCGAGTGGGCCACAAAGGGAGATGAAGCATTGCTGCTGAAATTGTTGCGTATGTCAATATAGTTTGCAACAGTAGCTGCTTTGTGAGCAACGTCGCTGTAGGAAAGGGGACCGGGAAGATTCCGAGAAGGCCATTCGGTGACAAACGGACGATTTCCATGATCGATCACTTTTTGAAAAAGTGGAAGACCGTTCTGCGATACATCTTCATCTGATGGAGGCAGTGGAGGCTTTGGAAAATTCCAAGAATACGCTCTCGAGCATTGCTTGGGCTTTGTGAGAAGAGTACTTCGTATGGTGCGAGGCCACAACATTTTGGAATCTGATGGCAAATGATCTACGCGGTACAAATTGAAAATGCCGAATTCATATACGGTATACGGGCCTAACACAGTACTTTCGATTCACACAAAGAGAATCTTATTGTTATTATATATGGTGTTCTGAGATACTAGTATCATATGACTTTTATATAGTTTCATTGACTATGTACAAAGGTAACAATTCCATTGACTATGTAAAAAGGTAGTTAAGGTTGTCTGAGGAATCTTTGGAGCGTTTCAACTGATCATTCATTTTCAGCTTTCGATCCACCTGGACTTGCACAGCTTGGTTACGGAAGTCCAGCCCCAGTTTCGTCAAACTTTCGTTGGCCTCCAAAGTGTCTGCCAGTCCGTCTTCCTCGGCGGTCGCAACGTTCTTCGACTGCTTGTGCAGTCGAAGCTCCTTCAGTGTGGTATTCTTCGCAAGGCCTTCCAGGAGGTACTTGATACCCGTCCCCGATATCGAGTTGCTTTCCAGCGATAGTTTTTCTATAGCCATATTGGTTTCCAGTGATTTCCCCATGGCTTCTGCAAATGCATCGTCTAGTTCACAGCCATTCAGGTTGACATTAGTGATGTGAGTATTCTCTGCAAATGCCTGCGCCGCTTTCACCCTCTCTTCGGCACTCAGACTAAGGAACTTGCGATCCCCTGGCAGTTTCACTTCCTTGACCAACCCGTTGTTCGAAGCAATCTTATCAAAGAACAACTCCGTCTCATTTCGTTTTCGCCCCGTACCAGTCTTTTTGTAATGACGCTGTCGTGCTTGCCGCAAAAAGTCCACATTCCGAGAGACATAAGCGTGGATCTGCTGGCGTTCCATGAGGCCTCGGAATTGAAGACTCACGACAACAACACTTCGGTTGACGAACATTGCCCTGCAAATATTGAATTCCGCTTTGGAGGTCAAGAGTCCCTTTTGATTCTCCAATCGGACCAACTGCAGGTACTTCATACAAGTCGGACTTGCAATAATTTTCGACAGGGCGACACATCCACGCTCGTTGATGAAATTGGTTTCAAAGTTGATGACGTGCATGTTCGGAAGAAGACTGTGATCCGCCAAGCAACGTTCCGCAAGTTTCTCCAAAAAGTCATCACCACAGCCAGTGTTGGCCATGTTTATGCCCATAAACTCCTTCATCTGAGGGTGTGACACAATCGCATCCACAAATTTGGTGACAATCAGTTCCCGCGCAGGATCAGTAACGGGGAACCTCTTGAATAACTTCCACTGACCATGGAAGTCAAATACGAGCTCTTCGGTATCTTGGGTTTTCTTGAGATACTTGGATATGAATTCGGCAGTCAAAAAGGAACCATCCGAGTTGAAGCATCCTAGAGAATCATCCAGAATGTCCTTGAATTGGCCAAAAAGAAAGTTTGATTTCGCACCTTTGCCCATAGAATCTGCATTCTTCGGTTTGGCTTTCTTGTCTTTGTCGTTGTTTTCTGATTCCACAATATCCTTCAGCTTGTACTTGTCAAATAGCACAGCCAACTCGTACAAGTAGTCCCAATCGTCTTCTGGAACTTCGAGAGGCTTGTTTTCGGCATCCTTTTGTTCCTTGATGGCTTCCGCTCGCTCCGCTTGGAAAGAAAGAATCTCAATGATTTTCTTGTCACGATCCACAGGGCCAGGTGGATTTCGCTTGTTCCGATACAAAATCTTGTTCAGCTTATCTTGTCCGTCATCTGAGGAGAAATCCACCTTGGCATACATTATCCGCTTGTTCTCGCCAAAGGCTTCAAGGACATCCTCTTCACTGGCCTCAGAAATGGGCGTCGTCTGGTTGTTCAGCATGATTTTCTTGCAAGTTTCGTTGCTGCTGGCCAAAGACTGGCAGAAATTGGACAAACCTTCGCTCGTGAATAGATTCCAGGACAAATCAATTTCTTCCAAGATGAAGTTCCTCTCCATAGCAGTGGCCAAAGCGTACAAAATGTCGTTTCCCAGTTGAACATTTTTGAAGGTCAGTCGTCGCAAATGCATATTCATTCCCAAAGCTTCCACGAATCCGAATAACAGTGTGGTGCCAACAGTATTGAAAGCCACATCCCCGTCCACAATGATTGACTTGACATCTGGATCATTTTGAATAGCCCCAATCATGCTGACAATCAAGTCATTGTCCCTCATACTCAGTCGGCGCGTCTGTGGCACGCCATCCGCCTTTTGAATGCGGTCGCACAACTCGCGGACAAGTGGTTTTTGCTTGCGATCTCTCAACAAGGGTGCTACCGTATCCGCAAACGAAGCATCTGCATCTCCTTGGGAGAGCAACTTTTTCATATCCTTGCGCTTTGGACCCGTTGGCTTCTTTGTTGACCTGCCCGGAGTGGCCAAGTTCAAGGCATTCAAGTTCATAACCCTCCGGACTGCCTTTGGTGTGGAAACCTCGTCCATCGTCTTGGACGAACTGCCATGCTTGGCCGAAAAGGCGTCAGCCCGTTGGCCTATTGTACCTGTTGTTTGACTGGCTTTTCCACCTCCAAATTGGGCTTCCAATAATGCCCTGGCGGGATTATTCTTAATTCGGCCAACCGTTCCGGCAGAAGACGATCGTCGTTTCCCTCCTGTATTGATCTGCTTGTCACGTCCTTGTCGTTCTTCTTGAGACTTGCCTTGCGTCGCAATCAAATTCTTGACAGTGTTGGCCCGTTTCTCAGAGGCAGTGAGTTCCGGTTCCTTCGATTCCGCATCTTGCTCTTTTTTCAAGCTTGGATCAAACATGGCAAAGGCATTCAATTTGACCTTGCCTGGTGCTCCATCGTCACTGCTATTGGCTCGTGCTCGATCTGGTCGTGGAGGGCTTGTGGAATTTTGAGTAGCATTCAAGTATGCCGATTTGATACTTCCAGGCCCTGGCGGCTTATCATTGGCGACAGCGGCGGCTGCTGCTGCAGTCGACGATGATGGTAGGCTGTTGTTCTTGTTGTTGTTGTTGTTGGCACTACCCGTAGCGCTGGACGACAATCCAAGAGACTTGGCCAGACTCCAGGGGGTATTCTGAGATGGACGACCAACACCAGGCTTGGAAGCGGAGAAGGATTCTTCTGTAGCCGCACTATCATCGCCACCACTGCTGCTGAGCTTTTTGAGGTACGCATTGCGCACATTTCCACCGGAAGTAGATCGTTTCATGGCTGGACCATTGTTAGTATCCTTGCCCAAGGATGGTGCAGTCAAGGAAGCAGAAGCTTCCGCCTTCTTGGTATTGTCTTCTTGTTTGAGATAGGCTGTTCGAAGTTTGCCAACGTCCAAGGATTTTTGTTTCGGCGCCACAGATCGTCTAACTTTTCCTCCTTCAAAGACATTCATGGCATTTTTTACACCAGAGCTACCATCCTCCTTTGCAGTGTCTGTTGTTTTCTTTTCCGATCGTCTCGTCGTTGGAGCATACTTGCCAACGCTGGAGGATCGTGGCTTGTTGACTTGTTGTTCCGTGGCATTTTCCTGATCATCAACTCCTGCCAGTTGCTGGCTGCCTCCCTTGGGCATCCGACGAGGACCTCCCGTCGTGACAACGCTCTTTCGTTCCGCAGTGGCAGTGGCACCTTCCAAGTGTTGTCCCGGAGCAATGGGGGCGGCTCCATTTTCCTTCTTGAAGATACTGGCCCGATCTTGAACGGAGGAACTGCCTTGACGATCCAGCTTGGGAGAGGACCCTGTGGAGTTGGCCTTGGTGGGTTGGGTCGATGAGGACGGTCGCTTGGGTGAAGAAGTGGTCGATTTTTTGACTTGCTCTTCGTCTCGTCCACTCTTCGATGTTCCAACTGGTGGTGGAGTCACTTGTCTGGGTGTAGGTGCTGCAGACTTGGCCGGCGTTGGTTCCATTGGTTTGGGAGACGCCACTTCAAACGAAGCAACAATACCTGCAGCAGCAACCTTTGGTACTTTGGCAGCAGTAGTAGGACTCCGTTTGGGAGATGATTCTGTTTCAGGATCCGATCCAGAACCCTTCAACGAATTGTCCCTGGACTCATCCCCATCCTTACTCGATGTGCTCTTATTCTTTTTATCCTTTTTCGATTTCTTCTTTTTGTTCTTGATGGACTTCAAGCCACTATCCGAAGAGTATCCACTATCTGCTGAAGATTTCTCTTTGTCCTTCTTTTTCTTTTTCTTCCTGGTGGGAGAATTACCCGAATCTTCTGCTGCTCCATCGTCGGATTTCTTACTTCTAGTCTTTGATTTGGATCGCTTAACAGAGGAATCGTCAGCACTTCGACCTTCCCGTGAAGACTTTTTGATAGTTCCAGAGCTGTTTCTCCTTTTAGATTTAGATTTGCCTGATGTGCTGGCCGCAGATCCAGGAACTGGTGATTGAGGACTCGATTCCTCCGTGTTGACCGTAGAGTTGCTTGGCATTCCTTTGATATCTTCCGTAAACTCGTCGTTCTCAGCTTTCTCGGGAGAAGCTGTCCCTTTCTGGCCCTTTTTCTTGAATGGATTCAATGTGACCATTTTCGATTTCTATCGTTTTTGCACTAGGTATTTTTGTTCTGATGTGATGGCTGTTTTGGCTCAATCTTTTGCGATTGGGTTCTCTAGAATCTTCTTGTTACTCTTGTAAAATCACAGTGGTATTGGAGCACTGATTTTGATGTTACAGTGCAATGACTGGCCGTGCAGTTTTGGGTTTCGGTTTTTTCGATCTTGTCACTGGTCTTTGCACGACGTCGATCTTCTCGCTCTTTCGCATCACACAAAAGCTCTCTCGTACGAGGCATTTCAGTAGTCGTAGTATTCCAATCGCTTTTTCTAATATTCAACACATATGCCTCCAGTCTTGTACGACACCTACGACATTCTTTTGATATAGCAACATACTGAAAACGAAAATGTGCGACAGGACGATCTCCATCATATATTGCGATAACGGGTAGGTAACTGTAGCCCACGATTAGAGGGTCTTGACCAAGACCCTCCACTAAGGCGAGAGACGATTCACCCAAGACACCAACAACCAACTCCTACAGTACAATCTTATCGCAATGTTGCTAAAAACTCTAAACCAGCTCCCCAATAACAGTCAGGCGGGACACAAAACAAAAGTCAGAAGGTAGTACTACCGGGCGGTACCTGCTAGTAGCTACTCACTCGGACTGTTATATGATAATCGTCCCAGCTGATGCCAATAATCTACTATTACAGCAGCAAACACTAAACACTACTCTGCATTTGAACAACCATTGTACGATGAGTAATTGGTTGATTCATTCGTTTATTCCATTTCAGGTTTCTTCCTCGCTTCCAAAACCATCGGAGCGCGCTCAAGATAAAAAATCTGCTTCTCTCTTCTTGTTGCCCGACTGCCCTTTTTAAACTCAATGCATTTGGTCGTACCGGTAGCAGAAGATGCGACTGGCTGAGTGAGTCACAGCATTTGGTCATGAACAAATGTTGCATGATTGACACAGCTGTTAGTCTCTTTCCAACTGACTAACTGACTCAACGGATTGGTCATGGCCACTCCGACGAAAGTAATAAAATTACTCCAAATTCGAATCAGTCGACCACTTGAGCAGTCACTTGAACCACATCTTTTGCGATGAAGAGCCAATCAAAATTTATAAAATCTTGACAAAGAACAAGTTCGATTCCCCAAAAGCTGCCACGTAAGCCAAAAACGCACTGGCCTTCCCCCAAGTGACTAATGACGACCAGCTTTCCGAGTGATTTACAGTTTTCCATTGATTCAGATCGTAAAACAAAATAGCGGTCGTTTGAACCACAAACAAAGACCTCTGGGCCTCTCATCATAAATTTACTTTCAACCGATCTTACCCATCAACTACAGTACTACCCATCATCGACAACACAATGTTTTTCGCCACTGTATCTATCCCAACAGTCCTTACTGCCACTCAAGACCACAGACCCTATCCTTCCGCCAGACGCGAGCAGCAACTTCCTCAACGCAACTTTGCTTGGCAAGTGAATTTGATGCAACGCATGTTTGGCGTAACACAGCAAGAAGACCTGATAGCGACTCGTCGTGTCGTCGCAGAACCCAGGCCACTTCGAAGACAAGTCGAACCCGTGTATCGAATTTCTCTTCGAAAGAGGTTTACCGATACCCTCAACAGCCCCTTTCACTATGAAATGAGCGAGGCTGCTCGTGTGGTCTTGTAAACTATCTTCTTCTACTACTTCCTCATCACCATCATCATCATATCATCATCCTGTGATCCGAAAGTCTCTGCTGTGAGGCTTTCTATAATGCTACTACTGCTGTCTCTTGTCACCAACTTTTTATTCTTGGAGAAGGCGAAAGACTCGAGTTTTTTTTTTCAATGCTATTGAAAAATTTGTACGAGTCATTGCCCCCAGATCGAAAAAAGGAGGACAGACGCGGAACTCCATGTCCATAGAATAACACTTGAACAATATAGATATTTTCTTCCACACCACCACCAAGAACAACAATGTGAACTAGTCTAAGAACCTGTTAGTTTTGATTTGTCTACAGTAAGGCTGTGGCAGCCCTGAATCATGCGTGTGTACCACTGCCACATGTATCGGAAGGCAGACAATAAGAAAGCATAATGTCCTTCCTACAGGATGGACAACATGCTTTGACGTTGCTTGCTTTGATCTAGAGCATACCTACTACGGTACTTCACGCCCCCCCCCCCCCAATAAATTAGTAGTTGGATGATGACTCTTTGCAGTGTTGGCTACGATACGCGAGGAAGGAGTAATCATGATAGTAGCTAGTAGTAGTACCTAGTAGTAGTTGACATGCCCACATGATGTACTATACTTGCTGATGCTACTTTGATTGTTGTCAGGGCAAGTGGTTGGTGGTCCTGGCGATTATCCTAGCCTTATACGAAAATAGACTGAAAGGTGCCTGTCCAAACACAGAGCAAGACAAACCTTGCATTTAATTGCTGATGCTACAGAACTTTCAGTGCTGGCAGGACAGCCATACTCTGAAGGTAATAGGTCGTCGATTCGAATGATTTTATTGCCCGTTAGCTCTCTGTGAAAATGACTAAGAGGATGTTCTTATCAGACTTACCGGCTATACTATCTACAGCCAGGCCGTTTCAATGCAAGGAATATGCCTTCTATTTATTTTCTTTTAAAAACTACTAAAACTATTCAAACTCTGGCTTGGAATGTTATGCTATCGACTGGTCTATCAATCTTAGCTGTTAACATTCGTTTGCAAAAGCAGAGTAGTAGGAGTACTGACCCCATGGTGTATGCGGAGTCATTTCCAGACAACGTCCGCTTGTCAGAAGTCATCCAAAACATGTAACGATTCTTTTATGGGGTGGCGGAGGATTTGCCATGCAGTTTGGCCTTTTCTTCCAAAACCACTTGCAACCAGAATTCGTCGGCCGAAGCTCGGGTTTCCGGATCCAAATGCGGTCCGTCCAATCCAGATGGATGCGCCTCGTTCTTCAACATGGGATCCAAATACTTGGACTTGTAGACGTCATAGGAAGTTACCTTGGAGCTAGCCGATCGGGGCAAACCGGATGACGACGACGAAGAGGATGATTCCTGTTGTTGGGCGGAAGCATGACTGTTCAACTCATGCAATCGTTCCTTTTCTTGAGCATAATAGGCCAACCAGAATTGATCGGACGATTGTCGTTGTGCGGGATCCATGTGTCCTTCCAAGTTTGAGTCATGACCTTGACCAGATGCAATCGGATCAATGAAGTCGTGTTTGTATTCGGACCAGCTGATGCTGCGTCGTTGTTGTTTCTTTGCTTGTTGTTCCATGCTGCTGAATGCCATGGAGGATGGAACCAAGGAAGTTCCTAGTAGGACGATGATGGTATTGGATAGTCGGGTCATGATTGAAATATTTGAATGTACTGTATGTGTGCAAGAATAAATATTGTGTTGTGAGACAGTTGAGACAGTTGTCTGTTTGCTCGTTTTATGATCGGATGAAAGAAGTTCGTGTCTGTGTGAACAAATAAGAACACCAGATGCCAAAATTGTGATTGATGCGATGTCAGTTCTTCTTTTCTCAACTGACTCGTCTGACTTGTGTCGTATTCGACATCTTAGCTCTTCGAAGGAAAGGATGGTATATTTAGGAAAATTGGGTTTCAAAATATAGTCACCCCTGCAGCGGAATTTTCTGATTTTCTTCTGATGGGGACGATTTTTTTCTTACGATTGACAACAATAACGCGTCATCGATCAAAGTATCTGGTCGACCATCATCACCTTGGTAACCAAACCCCATAAAGCTTCATACAGGAGGAATCAAGAAGCATAAGGAATCAACTTATACACCATGGCGTGGTTTGTAAGAGCATCAGAAGATGAGGGGCCTACCATCACCACCACAACAAGGGCGTCTCATTCCCACAAAGCGTCATTACCACCAGTGCAGCCATTGCCGAAACCTTCCAAACTTCTTCAGTTTCTAGAAGACAAACCAAGAGTCGCACAGGCGGTTCAGAGATGGGTGATTGATACGGATGGATATAAGGGTCCCATTGCTAGTCCACCTGTCAATGCCGATGATCCTAGTAATGGTGCTCCTCCTCCTCCCCCCATTGACACTTCCAACTATGCCTCGTGGCACTTTCGAAGTTTGTTCGTCGTAGAGGCTACTTTGCTGAACACGTCCATCCTATTTTTCTTTCTCTTTTTCTGGCTCATCAATCGGAATACGCACTTGAGACCCACAAAGGGATCGACCATTGTCCGAAAACACCAAACGGCCGCATTGGAAGATGATGATAGTTTGCTGGACAGTGAGGAAAGCTTTGACGATATTTGTGATAACGACAAAGAAGATCATCATATTGAAAAAAAGGATGAAGCCAACAAGGATGTTCACAAGGTTCCAACAAGGGAGAGTATCACCCGCCTCGCTAGTCCTAAATTCTTACGAAAGGAGGGAAAGGGACGAAGTTCCAAACGAGTATCGACCATGCAGCGATTGGTGGCCTATGGAATTGAACAGGCCGACGACGATGATGGATGGGAATCGGCTACCGAGGCGGAAGATCTGGACGATGAAGTCGACAAGTTGGAATGGGGAAACGCTCTGAAAGATTTGTTACGAATCACCCGAACCTTGGGGTATCTCAACGAAAAGGCATTGACCATGTGTGCCAAGTCAGCCACGTATGAGACGTATCAAAAGGGTGACGAAATATTCAATGCTGATACTTTTGACGGGACGCAATATGGTCTTGTCTCGGGCAAAGTGGAGCTCATCTTTCATGATTTTGAAATGCACGACGACTTTTTGGAAAGCATTGATGAAAGCAATGATGAAAAGATGAGCTACAAAAATAACAGCAATGAAGAGACGGAAGTACGACAACCCTTCAAATTGATTCTTGGTCCAGACAAGCAAATCACCTCCTCACTGGCACTATTTTGGGGCATGATTTCGAATATGAAAGACGATGCCGCGAGATTGAATGGTGATTCGCCAACCAAGAAACGCAAGTGTCCGTTAAGGATGAGCCTCAAGGTCGTTTCAGACGATGCCAAAGTCATTCGCATCACTCCGGATTGTCTATCTCGCGTATTACAAGAGCATCCTGAAGACATTTTTCGAATCAGTGGCACTGTGCTGAATCGACTGCAACGAATCACTGTCCAAACGTTGGTCAAGACACTGGGTCTTCGAGGTGACTTGCTATCACCAGCTCGTCCCATTCAGCAATATGAAAAGGATATGGTAAATGGTACCGAATGGAAGCAGTTTGATCAAGAAATGAAAAAGACTGGCTTCTGTGAGGGGAAGGAACTTCTGCATCGAGCCATCCAACTCTTTCAAGTTCGTCTGGGTATCAACTCTGAGATTGATGCCAAGAGCAGGAAATTACTAAGTGATAATGCGGAATTGATATTGTTCGAAGGCGAAAAGACACTGATTGAAGCTGCCAGCAAGCACGAATCTTGCTACTTGCTCTTGACAGGAAACATGGAAATTGGTATCTATAATCCCACAGGACGCAATCGAAGCACGTTTCATCGCCACCAACTGCTCTATCCAGGAGCGCTACTGGGAGAACATGAGTGCTTTACTGGCGAATTTAGTCTCACGGCAGTCAAGAGTGTTGTCTCCACCGACAGTGCCAATTGCATGTTACTGAGGGTTCCCAGGAGCGTTTACAACAAACTCATTATTCGATATCCAAAAGCCTTGGCAAGAGCCTTGGATTCTCTTTTGCATCAAATTTCATCGGCTGTCTATTTGCTGCAGGCAACTTCGGACTGGCTCACTGTCACGGCCGCTACCAATGTGGCCCGCCGAGGAACGCCCTGTGATTCCTTGTACATGGTTCTGAATGGACGTCTTCGATCCAGACAAAAGGATTCTGTTGATAAGAACGCACCTTTTGAATATGGAAGAGGTAAAATGGTGGGAGAAATTGGTCTGTTGGCAAATTCCTCGTGGCAATCCGATTTGTACGCGATTCGACACTCGGAGATTGCCAAGGTTCCAATCGAGACTTTGCTGTCCATTGTTCACAAGTTTCCAAAGGCTGGTTTGAACTTTGCCAGAGCCGTCGCCTTGCAAGTTCAGGAGCAAAGTCGCCGAAGAGCATCCAATCACGCTGCCGTTGCGGCAGGAGGAGGAGGAATTCCAAGGAGTATCACCAACAGCACCACTAATCTGGGCGGAGATGCAATGCCGAGCTATGGCTTGAATTTGGCAACCATTGCTGTGGTTCCAATGGATTCCACCGCAATCAATCTGAACAAGTTTTGTTCCACTTTGACCAAAGGATTCCAAAAGATTGCCCCATCTAGGCTGGTCACCAAGGAAAGTATTCGGAAAGACTTGGGCGACAAGGGGATTCGGTACAGGAACTCGGCCCTGAACGAATTGAGAATGGTGCGCTCATTGGCCGAAATGGAAGAGAATCATCGACTAGTCATCTATCAAGCAGATCCCAAGTATACTTGGTGGACCAGGTTATGCATTCAACAAGCAGACTGCATCCTGCTGGTCGTAAGCTCCGATCGGGCGCCCGAAGGGGAGCGCATCGAGCAATCGTTGGCTTGGGCATTCGAATCCATGGATGTCCGAATTGACTTGGTGGTTGTGGGACAAGACCATAAAGTCGAACAAGACGATAGCGATGACGAAGACGACGAAGATTTTGATTTGAAAGATGACGAAGAAATGAATGTCAGTGACCAACTTAACAATTGGAGCGAAAAGCGAAAATGGATTTCGGGACATCACTTGGTGCGGGCTCCGATTGGACGGCACAAGTTGGACTTTCATCGATTGTGTCGTCGCGTCACTGGTCGAGCGGTGGGCCTAGTCTTGGGTTCGGGCGGTGCCAGAGGGCTCGCTCATCTCGGCGTAATGCGAGCACTGAAAGAGGCCGGAGTGACGATCGATTTGGTTGGTGGAACATCTCAAGGGGTAAGTCTATTTTACAGCAAGTAAGCTCCTGCATTTGTCTCGACGGTTTTGGAATTCTGACGAGGTTTCCCTGTTTGTTTTTCAGGCTTTTGTGGGAGCCTTATATGCCAGACAACCAGACGACTTGGTTGGAGTGGAGAGCGAGTGCCGTAAAATGGCAGCTGAAATGTCGAGCATGAGGAGCAAGCTCTTGGACTTGACACTACCAATGACAAGCATATTCAGTGGCTACATGTTCAATCGGGGGATTCGGAAACGATTGGGAAACCTCCGAGTTCAAGATTTGGTTCTAAACTTCTTTTGCGTTTCAGTTGACCTGCAAAAGCAGAAAGAAGTTGTCCATAGGAAAGGATTGCTTTGGAAGTATGTCCGTGCTTCCATGTCGTTGACTGGATATCTTCCACCAGTTGCCGAAGATGGCCAGCTTTTGGTTGATGGTGCCTACATGAATTCCGTGCCGGTCGACGTGATGAAGCACCAAATGGGAGCTCGAGTTGTGATTGCAATTGACACGCATGGCGAGTCGGAACGTGATCACTACATGTGGGGCAATAGTTTGAATGGTTGGTGGGTCTTGTGGAATTCTTTGAATCCGTTTTCCGAAACTGTTAGAATACCTTCCATGGGTGATATATCAATCTTGGTAAGTAAAGAGATGGCTGCTCACACGTGCATGTTGTAAGAAAACGGCACCTTATCCACGCCCGTTTTTTATGCATTAGCTGCAATGGGTCTCTTCAGATCAACACAGACGGAACAACAGACTTCTCAGTGATTTGTATTTGGTACCTCCAGTCGGAGAATATGGAACTCTGGAGTATGAAAAGATGGACATTATTGTCGAAAAGAGCTACAACTATGCCAAGCCTATTGTTGATGAATGGGTCAAAAAGAATCCGTGGTTGATCTCGAATGGAAAGCTTGCACCCAAAGCGACAACATTCACATCGACAGTTCCGACGTTGGTCAAAAATGAGTAAAAGTCGTCCTAGTCGAAAACGAGAAATTCAAATTTGTCCGTATGTAGAAAACTACGAAATAAATAACGGTATTTTTTACTTGTCTTGAAATCGAACGAAAGTGAACCTCTTTCGTCCAATAACATTGCAAATAGTCTGGTAAAGTAAGCGACTTTGACCTCTACAAAGGAAAAACTTCAACACTTATCCTCGAATCCTTCGCATAACAACGTGAACGGCAACAATGGCAGGAAAGCGTCCAACATCTCCACGCAGTACTGCATCCGTTCAAGTAGTGATTCGGTTAAGACCACTGAATGACAGAGAAAAGAAGCATGGAACTCTTCCGGTGGTATCTGCTTCAACAGCAGACAAGAGTGTGACAGTAATCAAAGGGAAGGGGTCCCATCAAGCACGTTCTTCGTATGGTTTCGATAATGTCTTCACTGCATTCTCATCACAAGAAGAAGTCTTTGATGCCACACTGAAGCCAATCATTCGTGATGTAATGATGGGTTTTGAATCGACAGTATTTGCCTACGGTCAAACGGGAACTGGAAAAGTATGCGAAATTGCTTCAAATTGATGATCATTAAAAGCTTATTCTTACGTCCTAGTCTCTTGTTTTCAGACGCATACAATGGAAGGTGACCTCGACAACCCAGAGATGCAGGGAGTAATTCCTCGTTCTGCAAAAGCAATATTTGAAGCTCTGAAGACTCCAGATTATTCCCACTTTTCAGTTTCTTGTTCGTTCCTAGAAATCTACAATGAGGAGCTGTGCGATTTGTTGGCTGATCCGGATTCCAGTGGTCCAAAGCTAGACATCATGGTTGGCAAAAATGGTCCATTCTGTCGTGGTCTTTCAGAATCTCCAGTCGAATCAGCAGATGATGTTTTTGCCTTAATGCGCCGGGCTCAAAATCAACGCCAAGTTGGGGAAACAAATATGAATAAGCAGTCTTCGCGTTCACATTGTATTTTCACGCTGAAGATTGATGCGAAACGAGTACTCGAGGATGGTAGCGTATTGGAGGTTGGAGGCAAACTGCATTGCGTCGATCTAGCAGGTTCTGAATGCGCAAAGTCGGCAGACTTGGAGAAAGGAAATGACAGCCAGGCTGCAAGAGAAAGAGAGCGAAAGAACATCAATCAATCCTTGCTCACTTTGGGAAGAGTAGTATCCATGCTGAAGGAACAAAGCCAGAGCAAAAAAAAGACGAATGTCCGTATTCCATACAGGTATGTCACAAGCAAAACCATTGCTATGAGTAGATTTATGCAAATGAGAAGCGTATGCTAACTCAAATCTTTGTCTTACAATCGATTTCTTCTGCAGAGATTCAAAATTGACACGTATTCTTCAAGAGTCACTCGGTGGGAGATGCAAGACTTGCCTTATCGCAACGATCTCTCCTTCTGTTACTGCAATTGAAGAGTCCATGTCGACATTAAACTATGCACACGCTGCTAACGGAATTGTTAATAAGCCCGTCACGACTTCTTTCATGAGCGGATCGTCTTCTGTATCTGGTGAGCTTCTCAAATCATCTTCTGGAGGAGGGAAGAATGAAACGGGAGCTGTGGAGCACTGGAGAGATATGGAATGTAGACTAGAATATATGAAAGCACAAGTCGAAGAGGCCCAACAAGCTCTAGCACGGAAACATTTGCAGCAACAAGAATTGGTCGAGAAGGCAGAACAAGCAGAAGAAGCAAAGCTTGCCGCAGAAGCCCAGCTGAAAGTTGCCAAGCAAGAGAACATCAGTCTTCGAGACGAGATCACGCAACATGTTGAGGAAAAAAAAACATTATTAGAAGAGCTTGAACATACGAAAGTGTCTTTGTCAGAAACTACAAGCATTCTTCGAGCAACGCGACACACTGAGAAATGTTTGACGGACGAGGCCAATCAGTTGCTATGTGCGTTGCAGCAGTCCATCAAGGACACGAGTGACCTTCACTCTCATCTTCTGAGGAACAGGGAAGGAGATATCGAAAGGAAGAAAGCGACCAAAACTTTCAACGGCTCTATCGTTCGACTGTTCAAAGAAGTTTGCATACTGGTGGACTCTTTCACTACAGTGCATCGAGCATTTGGAGAATTCATGGGATCGTCGAACAATACTACGTGTGAGAGATTGCATCATCTTCAAGAAGCCAATGACCAGTCACTAGATGTATTGACAGAAGAAGTGCATGCAGCATCGAAACTATTGACTGAATATGTCTCTGCTGATGGTGGGATCGGACAATTCGTTGACGCGACCACTTCATCTATAGTCGACAAGATGAAGAGTGGCAAAGAACTCTTGGATTCGAAGGGAAGAGAACTATCATCGTCTTTCGGAGGCATTCGTGACCAGTTGAAAAAGTCTGGGCAGCACTTGAACGAGTTGAATGCCTCTTATCAAGCAGAATCCAATCAGATGCTAAAAGATCTAACCGAGAAGCTGTCACGCACAGACAAGGTACTTCGCAAAATGGTACAATCTACCATTGATACCCTAGAGCAACAAAAGGAAGAGCGTCTAAGATCTACCGAGTCTCTGCAACATGAACTGGAAGAATGGGATGCTGCCACAAAGAAAACCGCTGAATCCATCTCATCAATTTCAGACAAGCAGTCATCATCGATTCTCGAGACTATCGAAATGCTTCAGGCTGAGAGGGCGCGCCACGATGAAATCAACAAACAGTTAGGCAGTCAAAGGGAGTTCCTCCAGGAAATGGATTCAAACCAGAGAAGTGTCATAGAGAAGCAAAATAAAGCGCTTGTTTCGCAGAAAGAAGCGTTTGTTAAGTCACATCAACAACAGAAGGAATTCTGCGAACAACTCGTGTCGAACGTAATGAGTGGTGTGCAAGATCTACTGAAAAAGCAAGTGGCAACCATTCTTGATGGCAGCAAACAGAGTCATGAATCGTTTGTCAACAGCAACGACGAACTTTTCATGCTGAACTCTTCTATCCAAACGTCGTCAAATGATATCCATGACACAGTTTCTTCCACCAATCAAAGCATTCAATCAACGTTTGAAAAAGTCACCCAGAATGAATCTGTTGCTTCAACAATGCTGGAGGAAAGTTCTAACACGTTTTCAAGTATTCTGAATTCATGCCAAAGCCACAAGTCTGTGATCGAGACCAAACGCAGACTGATCAGCGATAACCTTCAGTCTTCTCGGTCGGATAATATCGATACATTGAAGAGACTAAAAGCGGAAGTAACGAGTAGCGGAGAAGAGTGTACCGAACTTGTTACGGTTCAAACACGAGAACAGCTGGCCATTGGTATCAAGAAGCTTACAGATTTGTCTGCATCATCAAGAGCTGTTGTGCAAACTGATGTCATTGAGCAAACTCAGAACTCGATTGCCACAAACATTGAAGAACCATTTGAAAGCATCATGGAAGCACTGAAGGAGACAATGGATGGTGCATCTGGTGAGATTCAGGAGGGAAGCGAAAACATTCGATCCTTGACTTCGAAACACAACGATTTAGTGGAATCGATGTGCAAGGATATGGAATCATCAGCTGCAGAAATGAAGACTCGCGGCCAAGAACAAGAGTCGGTGATTAAGGATCATGGAAAAACTGTCAAACACGTTGTGAAGGAGCATGATGAATGTGTCCTTAAAAACGTTGGCGCCATCAAGTCTGCGAATACCAAATGCCAAGACAATGTAAACGAGTTCACCGGCAGAGTAATTCGTCCAAACGAGCCAACGCCAGAAATCGAAGAAAAACCGCTACCCGAATATTCAGAGGAGCTTTCCAAGACGCCTGCTGATGGTATCATTCTTCAAGGGCTCCGCAAGGATCAAAGCAGTTGTTCTGAAATGAGTTTTGGTTCCAGCAACAAAGAGAACAATGACGATGTTGCCTCAATATCCTCTGACGATAGCGATGGTAAGCCAAAACCAGCTGTTTTGCAAGATAAAAATAGCAACAGAGCTGATAGTTCGTCATCAAAGACAAAGTTGAGAAATCCAGAGCCAATCAAGCGAAGAACCGCCGAGACACGTACCAGTTCACGTCGGAAGAAGCTGCGGACTGAGATCTAAGTTTTTGGGAAAGGGGCATATGATATCTATTTTACAAGCTTTATTAATATCTATCTATTTATCATCTAGTAACAGCGTAAACTTCACCGCTTCTCTCGTCGATTGACTGGACTTCCACCAGTATTTCGTTTCCGGGACCTATAGACCCCTGAATGCCTTGACACGAGGCAGTTGCGCCTGTGCCCAAGATGACAACTTCATTTCCTTTCCCAGTACTTATGGCTGGAACAGGACCGTCGTTGTCCTTGATGTACATACTGAGGGATTGAAGCACTTGAAGCGTGTTGCCTTTGCTTCCAATACCACTTTTCGATGCCTTTATGTTGGACACTGCATTGATGGCTGCCGTGGCTGACTTGCTTTCATAAATCGCTTCCTTTCTCGTCAAAGGTTTCCCACCATATCCACAAAGCACCGCAAGGGCTTGTCGTTGTGCTACGCCATCGATGTATCGCCTCAGTGGAGCAGACGCGACTCGGCCTAGTCTATCCATACCGCTTCCAGCAACTCGAGGAACTGGGGCGTCTGCCCGAAAGAGAAGGCCATTCATAGCGAAACCATAAAGGTCCAATGCAGAGTCCACTATTCGATGACTTCGAGTGCGTTCAAAGCGACTGTCCCCGTTAATCTCTCTGTCCACCGTTTCCCTTCCCAAGAGACGCTCTTCTTTTGCTCGTGCAGCCTTGCTCTTTGTCCGTTGGAAAGCGCTCCAGCGACACAAATTACGTTCGGCTACAGCAATGAGAGCTTTCGCCTTTTCAAGGGCAGGATCTTCTTTCGTCACAGTTCCGTCCAAAAGAGCTGTTGCGGCCTTGTATGATAGCGCCAAGGGCTTCGAAATCAATGTACGCTCCAATCCTGTGTCGAGCATCTTTCCTGTTTTCTCATCAATGTATACCCAGAGGGTGACACATCGATTGATGCCACGGTCCAATTGTGCTGGTGTTTGATTTGTCATGTCAATATTGTTGGTATCCAATGCCAAGGCATGCAACACCGTTGGCGGCAACAAGTGCAAAGGTCCCAGTGGAAGATCGTATCGGCTAGTGCCTCGGCTATGCGCGGCTTCACGAAGAGTTTTCAGATACTCTGCTGGTTTTCCCTCTCGATTGACATGTGCCTCTGGTGCGTATAAGTCTGAAACATCGGCAATGTGCAGCAAGATTTCCCACTTGGATGCGTCGGTCACACGCCGACCAGTTGGCGCTCGTGGTCGAATCCCAATTGCGTCGTCTCGAAAGGTGGTGCTGGAAGCATCCATGCAGATACATGGAAGTTTCGTCAGATCCGTTCGACCCTCGTCACCTGGAACCTCACCTCGTATCAAATAGTCTCTTCTTTTCTCATTCATTTTGCAGTACCAGTCTGCCGCTTCCAAAACAGCTTTGGGCCAGGGATCAAAGCGTTGTTTGGTGGGCGATGACGATTCTGTCCAATGGCCAACTTGAATCAATGCCTGTTTGGCTCCCTCTGGTGTCATTGGTAAGTTCATGGCTCGTAAGGATTCTCTCACATCCACTTGCAGTTCTCCCCATGAGTTTTGGTCATCCCCACCCATCGCCAAGCATTCCAGACGAGTAATGATACGGCCGTCCGCCAATGTCGTGGTGGAACCAGCCCGCTCGGCAAACTTGCGGCCCTCTGAAGTGGCACGCACCGCTTGATCCAGAACTACCCAGCCACCATTGATCACTGTTAGTACGCCATCGTGATGCGCAACAGGCAGACAACCAAAACGTTTGAAACGCCCTCCCGATTTGGCATCGTTGGCCAGGGCTGTAGACGCAACCATTTGCTGTTTGATTTTCTGCTGCTTTGTAGCTTGATTTTCATTTGAAGGAAACAAAAGGTCGCGAACGACTTCCGAGTCTACCATACGGGCAAATCCAGTTCCAGCCTTGAGCACTTGACGAAGAACCGTGTCGACAGATGCCTGTTCTTCTAATGGTGCGTATTCCACCAGTCTTGGAAGTTGCTTCTTTGTCAATTGTTTTCTACCCATGCTACCTCGAGCTCGACCAACACGGGCTCTGTACAACTTGTCCAATATTCGATCCACTTTATCCGAAAAAAATGGCATTCTGTCGCCTGAAGATGAGAAGTCGTTGGGACTAACTTCGGGCGACCATATAGTTGTAATCTGACCGAGGTCCACAATCTTGGAACCTTGCTCTTGCTGACTTGTACATGGTTCCACTTCGAGTCGGCTTCCTTGTGGTTTCCCGGAATCATCAGAATTGGAGATGAGTTTTGTAATAGCGACGAGTTGAGCCTCTCCTTGAAGTTGGCATTCTGCGAGAACAGGAAGATCCTGCTCTGACAATGTGAGTAACCGGCTGCGAAATCCATATTCTTGCAACATTTCTTCCAAGTACGACGAGGATCTACTGTCTATCATTGCGAGATGTATCTGTGATGGTCTTATCGCCTTTGAATGTTGAATGGAAGGTCCTTGAAGCACAAATGAGAATGCTGGAAGATTGAGTGCTAGTAGAAGATATGTCAGTGAGACCATCCTCGCCCACGAAACGACGAAATTCATAGCGCCGCTTCTCTGTCTTTCGGAGGCCTTATTTCCAAGTCAAAGACTGCTAGAATATGCTTTGCTACGAAGTATTTTGTGCATTCTTCATTTTGGTTTGGTTCATGGTTCATGGTGGTGGATGGATGGATCTTATTGGTCTGCCGGACTGCCGACAGATGGCAGTTACTTGCCGCTATCGTATCCACAACCCAATTTCAAGAAATATTTTTTAGATCGGCGGGGCCAATCTGCTAAACAAAATAATAAAAGCGAATCATCACCGTCATCATCATCAACCATTTGGTTCCCAGCCCCCTGCGGATGACCCACGTGAATGGCAATACCCTCCATGCAACTTTGACGCGGTTAACTTACATCAATGATTCAGTCATTCAACCCCATGACAATGTGCTTTGGTTTGGGCAAAAGCTATAGCTTTAGCATCTCCTTGGTTGCTTCATTGAATTCAGCTGGTTTGCCAAAGCGCCAAGGCTAGAAGTACCAGAAACGAAGAAATCATAGCGATGGGGGTGCATGGTACAACGCCTCAGAGAGTGGTCCTGCCTTGAGCTCCGGATTTCAATATTAGAGGGGATACATGCCTTGTTCATCACTTTTTCTTCGCCTTGGTTTGGTGATGGCGGAGATGGATGGATCCTAGTCTTGTCTACTGCTGCTGACGACCAACAAGACGCCCACCGCAATCTCATCCGCAACCCAATAAACTGCGTATTGTGTCCGGCCTTACAGAATATCTCACTAGTGCCGCCGTTTTGTCTGTACCACAGAGGTGCAAGCAACCTTAACATTCGAAATGTATTGTTCTAAGAACACGCTGGTATGAAAAAGTCGTTATTCTCAAGGATGTGGCATTCCCAAAACAATTTGGTGAGAATGACCGAGAGAATGAAGAATCCATCAACAATCAACCATTGGTTTCCTCCACAAGAACTCTGCCCCCACCTATGATTGAAAATAACTTCCTTTCAACTTTTCTACGATGCCTACTTTATATCATATTGTCAAGTTCTATAGAGCATTATACATCAATGATTGATTCAAAGACTAGCTCAGATGTCTTGTTTCTTTATTCCAAAGCTTGTCCTCAATCAGCCGGTTAGCAAATTTGACCAAGCTCTCGGAGTACTTGTCCCGTTCATATGATCCCTTGGTGCACTTCTAGGGTTGACGCTGCCCTGAGCCTCATATTTTCATAGCGATTGAGGAGTGACTGTGCCATATACGAGGACTTTTCCTTGTTGTTGAAGTCGCCGAAGCTGAAATCTTCGCCTCTGGTGGCTGAGACCTGATCGAGCGCCATGAGCCGACGAGAATTGAATTGAATTGAACGAAGCAAGAAGCAACAGTAGTACAGCATCCCCATAAAAATCAATTCCCCTACAAAGACACTCACCGTACGGTCAAGCAGAGCCAGTGAACAAGTTAAATTGATGGAAGGTGTACTTTTGGCCTTGAAAATGTTCTGGCAGTACGTCACGGCGCATGATCTTCCAACTTTGTCTAGGCATCTCAATATGGCCGTAGGTCCATTGTCTGAAGTGTATATCCGAGTGCTGTCGACTTTGAATGGGCTGATTGTAGAATACTCGAAGGATAATTGCTCCGAATGACTTTTGTTCGTGGATAAGCATCCAACATCATTCCAAATGAGACTGAATCGATGACACATCACATCTTGAGTCTTCAAAATACCGCCCAGCATACCAATCATGCATCGCCTTCGATACAAACATAGATCCAAGCAGATTATGGAGCACTTCGCTTTTGGAGATAGAATTTAAACAACGGAACAAGAAACCGTCAAATAATCCAGCCAAGTTCTGTGGTACTAGTAGTATGATGATCTGACAACAAAAACATGGAAGGAAGTCGTAGTAATCACCATGCTCTCGCGACTGAAATGACTAATCTTCTAAACCAATCTCGGGTCGTAGCCATGTGCTTGAAGTAAGTCCATGTCATGTTGAAGCATACTTCAAGTGTTACGTGAACCTCATCCCACTGCGGTGTCAAAAATTGAAGTATTCGTGGGACACAGAACATGAAAAATTTGGCAGATGGTAAAATTGTCCGTTACTCCATGCTAAGAATGGCGCGTCCGCCATTCTTGGCCGTTTTTGTGTGGGATACGATTACCTAGTCCAAAAATATCGCAGTAGCAGGTCGTGCGTGAGACCGCCAACCCCTTCTCTATTTGAGTGGTCGAAGGAGTGGCTGTGGTCGAGATCCGGACAGGACTACAAACAAAAAGAGCAGGATTGAAAAGTCAATACCGCCGTGAATTCCGTTTGACACCAAACAGAACTCTTGAGAAAGAAAGACTTATTATAAAGATAAAATCATGATGGAGACGGACGATCTCATGATAGCCGAGTCGTCATCGTCACTGCACTTGACGGAGAGCAGCGACGAAGAGGAGCCAGCACCAGAACTTTCCAAGCTTAGTGCCTCTGGTTCCGTATCAGATGATGATGAATCGTCTGATAAACCTCAATCTGCTTCAGAAGACGGAGAATCTACTTCAACAACAGCAGCAGAAAAGTCGCAGTCCAACGACACTCCAATCTCTAATGTAGGCTCTGAACCTGTTGTTTCTGAGATTTCAAAGGAAGAAGAAGGAAATGAAGACGATGATTTATCCTCTCAAGTTGAATCTTCAGAGGATGAGACTTATGATGAAGCAGCAGCAGCTGCTGAAGAAGTTTCCAGTGAAACAAGCAAAAATGATGAATCATCACCACTGGAAATCCTGAATTCGGAACAACAAGGAGACGGTTCACTGTACATTGAAGTCAAGGATGATGGCTGTGGTGATCCTGAAGAGGCCCCTGGGGCCAAGATTCAACGATTGGCTCGCAAGGCAGGTATCATTGTGGGAGGTGGCACCATGACTGCTGTTGGAACCGTCATGCTCTTTCTTCCATGCCCAACGCCCAGTATTTACTTGATGATTGGAGGCATGGCAATCATGTCCAAGGAGGTTCCCGCGGCACAGCGTCAACTCGATATCACACGAGGAAACTTGACCTCGTGGGTGGACCGTGCCGAAAAAGAATTTTCGCAAGGGGGTCGAACGATTAACATTGTGGTGGACAATGGAACTCCGAAAAACAAAGAAGGTACGGAAGAAGGAAAGGAGCAGGATTTCAAAGAAAAAGAAACTCCCGAGGCCATTACTTCCACTCAGGTGGTACATCAACCTCGTAACCCTGTCAAGAAACACTTTGTCAAGTCTTGCCGCAATGTGATCCTACCTCTATTGAGCAAGGTCTGTACTCCGCAGGACGAGATGGACCAAAACAACGCTGAGGAAGCCAAAGAAGAAGGTGTTCCGGAAGCGAGCCCAGCAGTGGAAGCCATTCCCGAACCGAAAACTCCAAGCAACGGACACTCTGTGGAGGGCAAGGAGAATGCAGAACCATGGGACGGTCCATTTGCTCGCTGGTCCAAGTACCGCGAAACTCGAAGGCTAGAACTAATGAAAGCTGAAGAGCAAAGGGAACGGGAAGCTATGTTGGCTCGAATCAACGAGGCAAACCTGAAGAAACTTCAGGAAGAATTCGAGTCCAGCGGACAGGATGTAGTTCAGGAAGTTGCCACAGACGAAGAGGAGGAGGAAGAAGAAGAAGATGATGAGGGCATTCCTGCTCCTCCAGCTTTGATGGAAGTCCAAACGAATTCTTCAGTGGTCCTCCGAGTCTAATTCTATTCCTGGGGGGAATCTGAAATAGAATGATACTTTATGTATGAGATGGACAAGTGATAGAACACAATTTGTGTGTATATGTGTCAGGTATTCATAATATTACGGCAGCTAAACCTGCAGGAACAAGTGAAATGGTTGCGTCTTCCCGTTGGGAAGTGCATTTTTGGATTTCTCGTTTCACTGTGGATTGCAGGCAAAAAGTAGCCCTGTTGGAACCAACAATGTGTGGGAAGACAAAGGTAGCGTAAAGAGTATTCCAATAGTAGCTAGGATGGTACATTTGCTATGTTTACATTCTTTATCATGATAGCCTTCTGGAGTGTATTGCTTTCATCAGTCCGTATCCTTGAGCAGTCTCGTTGCCGTTCAACAGTACAAAGTTATGCTAGGCTAGCTTTGCGGTCTCGTTGCCGTCCAACAGTGCAAAGCTATGCTAGGCTAGCTTTGCGACAAGATGTAATCCAACCCTCCAATGATTGCTGCGACTTGCGCTTGATTACAAGTCTCAGCAGTAGCCTTGGGAGAGTCAGGATAGACTTCTGTTGTTGTGGTGTATTCGCCCAAAGTTACTCCTCCACACAATCCCAATTCTCGAGCCGGCACTCGAATGATGCCTTCTTCTACGACTGGCTCGTCCAGTATCGTGCCCGCATCATCTGCCGGTGCAATATGGGTGACTTGCTTCACCTTGTCAATAACAGCTTTTTGAAATTCCAATTGGGGATTGGTACTATCCGCCACGAGATAGAATCCATCTGGAATTCCTCCTTCTTGTGGCGGCAACCCAGCTTTGGCTCGTTTGGCTGGTCGAAACTCTGTGACATCTGTGTCTGTGGTTTCGTGCAAGTCCAAATGACACTTCCAAAAGGGAGATTCTTTCTTCTCCCCTTTCTGTGTCATTACTTCTTGCTGAATATGCTGAATATGTGTCATAAGAGCCTTGGATTCTTCCGTTTGTTCCGATTCATCATCTGGTTGAAACGATCGATTCGGATCGGATAAATCCGCTTGCCATCGTTGAATATGTTCATAGGCCCAAGGGCTGACGCAGGGACACACGACAATGTTCAGGCTTTTGGCATACTTATTGGCTGCTATTTCTGACTGACAGAAGGCAATGGCTCCTTGGACACCTGATGTTTCGTACCCATGAACACCGCCTGTCACCAAGACGAAGGGCTTATCGATGTCAAATTCTTTGGATTGAATTGCAACTAGTGGATATCTTGAAGGATCGTGTGACAATGCACCATAGTGCTTAATCTCAAACCAATCTTGATCCTTATATTTCGCTTCGTCTTTGACAAGTTGTAGTTTGTCGACGACTTCTTTCTGATACGATCTTTGCACTTTGGCTTGCTCCTTCCATGCCTTACAATCGGCTTCCTCCCAGGGTTTACCTGGAGTGCCAATGGGATAGAATCGTGGAATTTCGTCTGTACTTGTAGCACTCATTTGGATCTCCGTTTGGTACTTTTGTGTGTCAAAAGTCTTGTTTTGATTCAGGAAAAAGGCGACAGTAAAAGCAACAACAGCGGGAACAGCGAAAAAAAACATTCGATGGGAAAGGTCGAGAAACTAGCTAGCTATACGGTAGCAATTCGAAAATTTGTATGACGATGATGTTATCCTTGTGTTAGGGATGTTCGACCACTTCGATCGGATCAAAATGTTGTGGTTCCCCCCAAAAATTGAAATGACCCAGAGCCATCCTACCACAGGCACAATTTCAAATTGTCGCATCAATTTCGAAATTGTACTGGCACAAGTGAAGACAATTTAACCCACAATGACCCGAAATACTGGCATTTCATTCTTCCGTCCGCCCGCTACATAAAAAATGTGCTACTGGACATCGCGGGATAGATCCGCCGACTCTAAAGAAGACCAAGCCAATTTTCCCGACAGATTAATTCGTATCAACTTTCTTCTTCCAATAACCATAATTCAAATTTTCATCATGATCAATTCCAACACCAGTTTGCTTCGCACACACCCCAGCACAGGGGATTTGAGTACGGATAGCTACGCCCCTTCTATCGACGGGAGTGTGACAAGCAATGTCACCTTCGGGACAATTGAAATCCGCGAATATGGAATGGTTCTAGGAGACAATCCTTCCACTTCTTCAGGCCCATCGGTGGAACTCGATTGGGACACTCAATCCACACTCACCATAGATGATATTGGCCAGTACGAGTCCATGAAGCCTGCTCGACGACGGGGAACGGATCAACTCGCCATGTCACGGTATCGTCGCACCAAGCTATTGCTTGACAGTGGCTATTCGCTGGAGGAGATTCTTGGAACCACAAATGATGGCAGGAATTCGCCCAAGAAAAAGACAGGAATTTCCAAGAAGGTATTGAAACTGTTTTCAAGGAAATGAAGAAGGGCAGAGAAGCTACTACAAAATAAAACATCCGCCTATACGTTGGTGTGACATCCATTCCAGCTTCACCACCAGGGGTGCTTCCTAGTAGGGTCACCCATTAAATATTCCGGATGCTGCGGTTGGAGCCACCTTCAGCGTTCAGACTGAGAGGAAGATTGAAACACCATGAGACTACAGTGAAGTCGGAACAAAGGAAAGCATGATAAAGCGTCGTTATTACCGTGATTTTATAATGAAAGCATTTAAAATAAATAAAAAAGGTGAACGGACACAAATCTACATTATCTTCCAGCACATAGACACGAGAAATGGAGAGACAGAAAAGAAGTGCAGTTGTAGATTCGACATTACTACCAGAGGGTCAAGGAAGTTTTGTGTTGTGTTATTTGGTGTGGATTCCGTAGAGACGTGGAGTTCTGGAACGCTTTGTTCTATAGAGCTACTTTGGGTAGGCCTGAAGCCCCGTACTGTTGTCTTCACGGAACAGTACTCCTTTTATGGTTCAAGGTCTTCTTAATCTTGAATCACTCCGGGAAGTTGAGGGATCTGATGAAGGAAACGACCATCATTTGCGTCAATTGAAGAGATTGATGCGGAGGGCTCAAAATCACGGCCGCCCTAGTACTAGTAATCCATTGACACGGGAGATTTATGCGTTCAGTGTCTTATTCAACAGAGTTTAGCAGCGGAGTGTGCAATGATGGGCAAGCTTCTTATCACGTTTTGACGGCATGAAAAGTCAGAAGTTCTATTTGCCTTCCAGATGGGGCAAGGTCACGGCGATGACCCCAACTACTACCTTCTCTCCTCCTCTCTCCTTAGTCTCCACAGGGACGATAATGGTGGCTTCTTTCTCGTTGCCACCTTGGATGTAGATATCCAAGAAAATCGATGGTTGGGGAATGTCATTTTCTAGTCGAGAGTACCTTGTACCTAACTTCTTCCGGAGCTACTTTAATTTCAGAACAGCTTTACCAGGTGAAATGATGACCCATGCATGTCCTCTTTGTTCGTATATATTCTTCTTGTGAAGGATGCATCACGCTATTATTATTCTGGCTGCGGCAATAGCTGAGTATATATATTATATATTAGTTTTGGGAAGGGAAAAAAAAACCACTATCATGCAACACGACTTCGGAAAATCACAAGGTATGCAAAGGACATTTTTATTGCGTCTTTTTGGTGTTCGCTGGAGCTTTCCCCCTCCTGGAAATGATCGCCGGAAAGATCGCCCGATACAAATATATAAATCCAAGCCAACTTCCAGGCAGATTCATTCGCCAAGTCGCCTGACAATTTAAAAATCCCGATCTACAGTAACATTTCTACTCATAATACACGAATTTATACCATGAGCAATTCCAACACCAATTTGCTTGGCACAACACACCGGTCCAGCACAGGGGATTTGAGTACGGATAGCTTCGCCCACTCTATGGACAGTAGTGTGGCAAGCAACGTCTCCTTTGGGAAAATTGAAATCCGCGAATATGGCATGGTTCTAGGAGACAATCCTTCTACTTCGTCAGGCCCTTCGGTGGAACTGGATTGGGAAACCCAGTCCAAGTTCACCATTGATACTGTTGACCAATATGAATCCATGAAACCTCGTCGACGGGAAATGAAACAACTCGCCATGCCATCCGAGTTTCGAATGCAGCTATTGGTTAACAGTGGCTATTCGTTGCGGGAGATCCGAACCACAATCGACGACAGGAACTCGCTCAGGAGGAAGACCGAATTTTCCAACAAGGTGTCAAATCTGTTTTCAAGAAAGTGAAGAAGGACAGAGCAGCTACCACAGGAAAACGTTCCGCCTAACGTTGGTGTGACATCCATTCCAGCCTGTATTCCGGTCTCAATATCCTGCAGTAGTGTTGCTCATCAAGCATAAAGACGACTTTAAAAAAATCATTATTATACTTGACGAAACTGACATAGCCCGTTTCTAGGACTGCACTGCGTCTGCGTATCACCGACACCTCTTCTTGCCCCTTCATAATAGAGACTAAGTCTGCAGCCAGCAGTGTGAGGTTTATTTTGCTGCTATGATGAGTGCAACTGCATCCCTTACTGATATTATTGTTCAAGTGGTCTGTTTCTACACTCCATTGACACAAGCTGCTCCAAAGTGCTACGTCTCTTGCTAACCATGCCGTTCTCGCGATTGTGCCATCCAGTGAAGTCTTTCTCACATTGATCAAACTCGAACGGATTTGAAATTTTGAAGGAAAGTTATGAACGAGCTCAAAACGGACAGCTCACACTATAGATTGGCCAATGTGATAAATGTTCGCGGGTATGAAGCTGAAAACATTACAGAGACGAAGGGAGAAATAATGGCTGACATTGAAGAAAAGAAAAGATGGGAACTAGAACTAGACGATTGTACGTGACTGGAGAATCGGGCGAGTTTGAGCCATATATACAATTTCCCATCATGCACAGGATTTGTTCGCATCACCCGAGAGTAAACTGGAGAATAGTCATCTCTCAAGGATTTTACACTACAGTAGACGCCAGAATCAACCGTGGCACGCAGGCCTAGATGCATCGGCGTTTGGCCGTGATGCATCGCAGGATGTTGAGATTATCCTCGATTTCCCATCATTCCAAGCTTGGATATTGACATATTGAATAAGATGAGCAGTACAATCAATCACGTTTACGTTTGGTCTTGTAGTAATATGTCCCTTATAGTGGTTACTTTTGAAATGGAAGAATAAGTGCGCTGTTTTTTATTCCGCCATGTCGTATAATATCTCTTGCCATCATTGGTTCCAAGCAGCTGCAAAGAGAATATTTTCAGCATATTTATTTGCCCATACCTTCTTGGTATACCTCTCTTTATATTATGGAAAAAAAAGTGACGACTGCGCGAACCATATCCAAATGCTGAAACCATGTGATTCGTTCGTTCGTTCGTTCATTCATTGCATGAGAACATATATGGGCATTGCCTTGCAAATAAGGAGATGTCAAGCACTTTTCTTCCTGTTACGCTTTCCTCTTCGTCGTTACGAACGTATCTACTTCACATTTTGACATCGGCTTCGGATAAATATTCGTGATTCCCATGTCCAAAATTCTCCAATTCCAATTCCTTCCACAAGGTTTCTTGTGGGTAGGGAAAAATGGTGGGCCGTACCAGATACCTCCGCAGCATGAACGACCACAATGGCTGATCCCGCCAGGAATCGATTTCCAACGAATAATGTTCCCAAAAGGATTCGGCAATCAATTGAAAGACTTTGGAATGGGGATTGTATCCAAAGGATTGACACAAATAGACGGGTGTATACCAATCAAACCCTTCGGGTTGATTCCGGAACCAATTCATCAACGCCTTGACATTCTTTTTGAAATCCTTCTTGGCCCATTGAATGGCTTGAATTTCATTGTAAATGCCTGTTCGATTCCGCGGATGATGGTGTTGCATGAATCCCGTCGCATTCATGAGGTATTTCGTGAGATTGCCCCTATTGGTGGCATTGTTGGTAATGATATTTTTGATTTCTTCTGGTGTATACAAATTCTTGTGCGCCATGACTTGATCGTAATTGTCATTCATCATGTAAGTCGCAATGGTGTCCCAATACGACTTGTTGGACGAAGGTTTTAGCACGGAATCAATGTAAAAGACGGCTTCGCAATTGTCGGCAATTTCAGGATATTTCCATCCCATGAATTTGCCATAACGGGAGTGCGTAATGACACGAGTGTAGTTGTAATGGGTGACAATTTTGGTCCAACCGGGAGTGTGCCATTCTTCATCATTTAAATTCGAAAAGAGAAAGAACCGAACATACTTTGGATTGTGATTCTTGACCACCACCAAGGGATCCATATCGCTGGCCGAAGTGGCATAGCTGCAGGTGACAAAACAAATCTTGCGTTCGGTGGCTTCGTCTTTTGGAGCTTCAAATTCGACCATCCAACGGGCAGGATCAAAAGCAGGTGGAGATTCCTCTTCATCCTTTTTCTCGTCCTTGTCATCATCTTCGTCTCCATCTTCGTCGTCGTCGTCGTCACCAGGAGATTCCTTTTCCTTGACTTGTTTTTGAAGGTCTCTGGCTGCTGTTTGCACCTTCTGCGTTTTTGCCACAGGTTGTACCATGGTCGACTTGCTGTCAGTAGCTACTGCTAAAGCCGCCTTGTTGGGAGTGGTAATAATCGTGGGTGTTGGCGCTGGTGGGTTATCATTATTATTTTTGGGTGGTGGTGGTGGTGGTGGTGGTGTTCGCAAGGAGGAGGAGGAGGAGTTGATTGGCATTGACGGACGAGGAGTATTATTGGAGAAGGAAGTCGTTCCAAGAAAGATCGCATTGTCCAATATTCGTTTGCTAATCATGGCCATGCAAATCCAATAGACAATCCGGCCCAGAGTCCAACTAGGCTTATGTGGTGATTGTGTGCTAGCAGTAGTATTGGTTATTCCACCAGATTTCGGAATACTGCGACTGGCGGGCGTTGGATAGTTGCCTCCCTTGGAGATTTTGGGTTGTCGATTTGTCCGTAACATTTTGAATTATGATAATTATGATGATGATGATGATAAGGATGATGATGAAAGCAATAACGGGAACGTGCAGAGTCTGTCTCGTTATCGCAATCATCTATGATATAGTCAAAGTTATTAGGTTCATGTTCATGGTTTTTGTCATTTGTTTGTCTGTCTGTCAGGCGTGCGTGCTCACAACAGCAACCGCGCCGTCGTTCTAAATGTCACAGTACACTATGATGTGTATAAAATATATTATATAATATATAATTCACCTATTAGCAGCATATTTCTACCGATTCCATTTGATGTTTCGAATGAATCACGTGTTATTTTTGGAATTAAAAAAAATATCTTCATCAGTGGCGTTTTACACGTGATATTTTTCTTTTTTATATAATATACCAAAAAAATCGATCATGATCGACTCATAGGAATAAATTGAACGACGCAGAAGCACAACGAAAAATTGAAAAAACTACGCACAGAGTTTGAAGTTCCTTTTATTGAATCATCATCAGTTTTTCTTTCTCTCTTTCACACTGAATGTTTCTTCATATAGCTCCTGCTATTGCTATTGCCGTCGTCGCCTTTTTCGTCAATAATAATAGTAATAATAATAACAACAGCAACAGCAACAGCAACACAAACAACATAAAAAAGAGCAAACTTGGAATGGGAATCTTACACGAAAACGACGCTGCTCCTCCCAAGGATATTCAACGATATTATCCAATTGGCACTCCTGGAAAGCCGTGGACCAAAGAAGAAGATGATGAATGGAAGAAGCTAACCAAACTTCAACGATCCTACAAGGAAGAAGTCCTTGACAAACTAACCGCCATGCAAGTAGACTCATCCTCAAATAACGAAGAATGGTTTGAAATCAAGCAATATGGTTCCTTGTCCCACAATCCTTCCAAGTATCCACTCATGGCGGTTCAATCCAAAGCATTTGATGCTACCAAACCCTTTGTCTTGGTCACGGGTGGCGTCCATGGGTACGAAACATCCGGAGTTCAAGGCGCCATTCAATTTTTGACGCAGGAAGCTGCCAAATATGCCAAGGACTTTAATCTGGTCATTTTGCCCTGTGTCAGTCCCTGGGCGTATGAGCACATTCAACGATGGGATGCTGAATTGCTGGATCCCAATCGGTCCTTTCAACCGGACGATGAATCCAAGCAAACGGAAGAATCCAAGGCATTGATTTCCCATTTGAAACAAATTGAAGAATCCGCCAAAAAGAGCAACGACATTGGCGAAACCAAACCGAAATATTTTTGGAAGTGCCATGTGGACTTGCACGAAACCACCAATACGGATGCCACGGAATTCATGCCGGCCAAACATGCCAAGGCTGGTTTGCCATATGAAGGAGAAGTCATTCCCGATGGTTTTTATCTAGTGGCCAACAATGCCAACCCGCAATTGGAATTCCATCAAGCAGTCATTGACAAGGTCAAGAAAGTGACGCACATTGCACCACCCGATGAAAATGGTGACATTATTGGTGAACCGGTCGTTCAAGAAGGTGTCATTCAAGTGCCGGCACGGGAATTGGGATTGTGTGGTGGCGTCACCTTGGGTGAATATGCCACTACGACCGAAGTCTATCCGGATTCTCCCAAGGCGACGGATGAAATTTGCAATCGAGCGCAAGTTGCCTCTGTTGTCGGGGCGCTGGAATACATTTTGACCAAGGCAGGCTAATCATCATACAGTATTCAATAGCTATGATGATGGTGATGATGATGCTGATGATTTGTGAGAATAACAATGTTATCAATCGTTTTTTAAAAGAGATATGCTTTCGACAATCTGAAAAAGTCCCTTGATAATGACCCGCATCTGAAATATTTCCAGTATCGTCATACCAAATACTGTAGAGGAACGCTCTCCAAATGTTCAACGGACATATACTATACTATTATACGCTATGATCTTTTAAAATAAGTCGTCTAGCATTGCTTGGATTTGAAGAGCCTTTGGACTTGTCGGACCTTCGCATTGTTGAGTCACGGCTAATTCTTTCGATAGATAGGACTTAGCCAAATCGATATCTTTCAATCCATCCATAGCAATCTGATACCCATAATGCAAAAGTGGCTGCCTGTAAGCACCGATGGAGATTGATTGCTCTTTTAGCAATGAAAGACATCGCTCAACTGCGTCTATTGCAATCTTTGGATCTCCCGTTTGAGCCAACATCGATATGTCCTCTTGCAAGGAATTGATCTCAATCATGCGATCATCACCTCCGAAACGGTTGCCCTCTTCGCACATTTCACAACCACATTCAAAGGAGAACTTTTCTCGTAGATAATCTCTTCGTCCCTCTGTATCGAGACACTCGGGCGGGCCGTAGGTAGTGAATATCTCTTCCCCGATTTCGATTCGCCGAGTGGCAAATACGACAGTCTTTTGCAAGTCGGGTCTCCAAATATGAGTAGCAGAAGGACGGCAAGAGTGATTCATTCGGGCCGTCGTCAGAAATAATCCACCACACTTTTGATCTCCCAATGTGTATGAATTGGATTGATATGCCCCAAGGGGTGTCACTACGCCGCTAGCGTGACGACCAGGACTGTCGTCATGATTCATCCATTGATCACAAGAATGGAGCTGTATGATGGCGTTTTGTGTACTGTGGTGAAGATTGTTGAAAGTACTCTGAACGGCACGTTCGTGCAGCTGTTCCGCTTCTTCGAGACTTTCGGCAGCTTGATGATTGGGGACTCGCATGGCTGCATATTCTCGCAATATTTCGTCACCATATTCGAACACCTTGAGCGCTCGTAGACCTTTGCCGGCACCGGTGAGAGTATCAAACACTTCAAATGAGGAGGATGTTACTGGGAGGAGTCCATCCTTAACAGCTGTTGCAGCATCCAAACGTGCATTAGCCTCATCCACCAAACGGCGGCCTTGACTCTGCTCATCTTGCTGTAGTGAATAACTTGCTGTCGAGTTGCCGTTCTCGGTACTGTAAGTAAATTGTCGACTTGATGTTATGGATGAAGGTTTTGTAATATTTTGAGGAGGACTGCTTCCATATTGGTGCTGCTGCTCGTGCTGCTGGTCATTCTCGTCATCGTCGTCGTCGTCGTCGTCGTCGTCACTGTCATCAAAGCAAGCAAAGGGGTCCATATCAGTGTCATTCATGCTAGTGGTAGGTTCCAAACAAGCGTTCCACCTACGAAAAATGACAAGATGAGAAGTGTCTGTTAAATGATATTCTCATTATCTCCATGCGGTCCAAAAAACAAAAGTTTGCTGTTTTGGACCGCTTTTGCAATCACATACACAGTATCTCGTACCATCTACAGGCACTTGGGGATACATCGTCCGGCGCGCAGCTGCCTAGCTCAATCTACCAATCATAATACAGTATAGGATAGGATAGATACTATACGCTATACCGGTACGTGTACTGCATGGTTCCTTGTATTTTGGGACCTGTTTTACAGCCTTCAACGATGTACCATCACAGCAGCTTGCACGTACTTGGATGTCTACAAAATGGAATAATCATTAGATGTGTCTATTCATCTCCTGATCCATTCCTTGAAGTTCTCTCTTTCTTGGATTGTTCGTCATAAATTTTATGTTCTCCGTTAGATGGCGGGGAGTTGGTCTGGAAAATGGCCCTGTACCTGCCTCTGAATTTAGCTTCAAACATTTGCTTTTCGGCCAAAAAGAAATTGCTTTCACTGGATCGACTGAATGGATCTCATAGCATCAATGCTTATTCGATGGTCTTATATACTGTCTTACTTTCTTAGAATCATTGATTGGGCGATGATCATTTGAAGTCGTCTAGCATTGCTTGAATTTGAAGAGCTTTTGGACTTGTCGGACCTTCGCATTGTTGAATCAAGACCAACTCTTTCGAAAGATAGGACTCAGCTAAATCGATATCTTTTAATCCATCGATAGCAATCTGATACCCATAATACAAAATTGGCTTCATGTAAGGTCCGATAGAAATTCCTTGCTCCTTTAGCAATGAAAGACACCGCTCAACTGCTGCTATTGCAGCCTGCGGGTCGCCCGTTTGAGCCAACATCGATATGTCCTCTTGCAATGAGCTGATTTCAATCATGCGGTCATCACCTCCGAAACGGTTTCCCTCTTCGCACATCTCACAACCACATTCAAAGGAGAACCGTTCTCGTAGATAGTCCCTTCGTCCCTGTGTATCGAGACACTCAGATGGACCGTATGTAGTGCAAATCTCTTCCCCGATTTCGATTCGCCGAGTGGCAAATACTACAGTCTTTTGCAAGTCGGGTCTCCAAATATGAGTAGCAGAAGGTCGGCAAGAATGGTTCATTCGGGCCGTCGTCAGAAATAATCCTCCACACTTTTCATCTCCCAATATGAATGAATTGGTTTGGTATACTCCCAGCGGTGAGACCATATCGCGCTCATAACCGTCTTTCATCTCATCACAAGATGACAGCTGCATAATAGCAATTCGTGTGCATTGGTGAAGGTTGTTGAAAGTACTCTGAACGGCACGTTCGTGCAGCTGTTCCGCTTCTTCGAGACTTTCAGCAGCTTGATGATTGGGGACTCGCATGGCTGCATACTCTCGCAATATTTCGTCGCCGCATTCAAACACCTTGAGTGCTCGTAAACCTTTGCCAGCGTCGTTGGGAGTATCAAAGACTTCAAATGAGGCGGAAGTCACCGGCAGTAGTCCATCCTTGACAGCTACTGCAGCATCCAAACGTGCATTAGCTTCATCGACCAAACGACGACCTTGGTCTGTTGCTATTGATGGTGCTACTGAAGCTTCAGGAGGATTGCATTTGCTTTCATCATCTTTGTCGTTCTCGTCGTCGTCACTATCCCCCTCGAAGCAAGCAAAGGGGTCGTCCACGGCAGTGCCATTCATGGTAAGTGTAGATTCAATCAAGGTGTTCGTTCACCGAGCTACATGGATTCGAAGGAGAAGTAACTGCGTTCTTTATTCTCATTTTGTTTTGGTCGAAAAAGCATGTGCTGGTTTCGGACCTTCCCCGTTCGGACCATATACAGGCCCTGGTAGTACCTTTTTTTGCTGGTCATTGATACATCGTCCGGCGCGCAACTGACCACTCACTCTTGAACCGAACATCCGTATATCTCGGGTCGAATGTATCGTATCACTCTTACGATCTATTCACATTTCTGAACCTTATTTGTTGCACTACAGTAGCTGCAAGCTCGCACCTGCGATACTTTTATTTCTATTGTTGAATATTTAAAAAATTGTTAGATCAATTTGTCTGATTTATTTCTTGAAGATGTCGCTTTCTTGGATTATTGTCATTCGACGTGGATGAGGGCAAGGTTTGTCGCTCGTCCCCCACATTTCCTCCACTGGTTGGCGGAGGTTTGTACTTCTGGAGATAGTCTTTGCACCTGTCTCTGAGACTAGCGTCAAGGGCTTGTTTTTCTGCAAGCAACTCTTTTGCTTTCACTGCATCGAATGAATAGATTTCATCCAAGAGATTGCATGCTTCCTGCTGGTCATCTTTTAGCAGATCCTCAAAAGATATGTGAGGAGTAACAAACTGAGGATGCTCATTATGATATGGGACTCCAGCAGTTTGTTTCAGATAGAACCCAAACTGGTCCCATGTAATGACAATGCGGAACTTGCATGTGTTCTCCCCCTTTAGGGCTTGTTTTGTAGAAGTTCTCCTCTTGTTACGTTTCCCAAGTGACCTCTTCCCGCTGCTGTCCGAATCGAGGATACCGTCTTGGTTGTTTTCTTCCATGACATCTTCCAAGGCAACGTCTCCTTTGTATCTCCTGCTCCTAAAGGCACACCTAAAGACTCTGTCTATACCGTTAGTTCCTGATGACCCTGTTGAGTAAACGGGAGAGCCACACGAGTGGGCTGCAGTTTGTATGTCGTTTTTGAGTTTGTTAAAGGATGGACACTCTGGTGAGAGTCTTCCGTCAGCTCCAAGAAGAGGAGGAGGGTAGCTCCCAGTATTGAAGTATAACCGGCTTGGCCTGAGCAGCTCTATAAATGCTTTAGCTGGGAGCCATCCCAGCTCCTGTCTCGTCTTTCCAATGATAGGGCATACATCAATTATTTTCGAGTTGCCTGTGGCCCCCTTGTCTAATGGGAGCAAGACACTCGCAAGCCATGGTTCGACTGCATGCTGATGGTCCAGAGGACAATCTGACGCTCTACTTCCTGAAGTTGTTTGGTTGGCGTTGATAGTCGGCTGACAGATAGGTGCCGCGCTAGGAGGACTGTCACTTGGATTGTCCATATGTTCGCTGGATGGAAGGTTTCTGGATTTTGGGGTAGGCAAGCAATTCGAATATAATGGACAGCGCAGAGTGTTCAATTGTATGATTGTTGTCATCTATCATCTCATTATTATAATCGCACTTTCAATTTGCAAGGAAATCATTGCGGTATTTTGTGGGGTACTAATATAGTGTCATGAAGATCGACTTCTCCGACTTGAAAAGATCCGCTTCTATGATATCACGCAATCGTCATCATTTTGAATTTTGGGAACTATCATACTCGTATTTATTTTCTATGTACTCGAAAGCATCATATAATCTATCGCACATCGTGTCGTATAGCAATAAGGTCTTTCAATATGCCGCAAGGGAAGAAGAACAAAGCAGGACGAGGTCGTAACAACAAAAAGAAGAGGGGAGCAGGCCATGGCAAGAATTCACATCTAAGGACTAATAATGGGAGGAAAGAACAAGTGGCAACCATCAGTAACCTTCCTGAAAACCGTATGCCGTCACTGACTTTTGAGAATTCACTCGAAAGAGATGCCCCTGACTATCAATCCTTTCAATTGAAACAAGGAGCACTGCATGAGACATTTCCTACTGTCTACACCCGATACAAAGCCGCCACCGATCGTTTCTTAAAGTACATGCAGGACAATTCACCTGAAAGCATTCACGGAAACAGAATGAATGTAAACTCCTTAATAACAGCAACAGATTGGATGGAAGAAACCAATCGACCGGTAGAACCATCAATAGTTAAGGACTTGGAACTTGTTATTCGGGTCCGATCAAGAGTTACGGAGCAGTCGTTATTCGGAAGAGCCGACATGTGCCATCAGCACTTGCTTAAAACAAGTGTGTATTGTTGGAGGGTTCTTGCATCGCTCCCTCAGGCTTCCGTTACTACCAGTCTTGAAAAAGAAATCAACGAAAATCTGACTTTGTCGGGTGTAGATGTTTCCGCTTCTAGAACTCGCTTCGAAGCACTGCAAGATTCAGACGAGGAAGCTGAAATGGCCGAAGAAGAACTCTTTCCATCAAAACCTGTTGCACGCCCTGACCCACAGCCAGAACCCTTATCTCTTGAAGAGACACTCAAGTCCGATGCTCGTCATGACAGCTGGTTGTTTTTGTATTCAATGGATGAACTTATGCGAATTGTACCATTGCAATATACTGCTGTTAGGAGGCAAGCGGTCGCTCAAAAACAAAGAGGAAGTCAGGACACTTCGATTGTGGAAATCTTGATGGAAGCAGCTGTAGCGACGAACATGGCCATCCAGCAGATGCAGCAACTTGAGATGGAATTTGAGCTTCACCATCCAGACATGGTAACCCCTTACCAACTCTTGGCAACCTTTGCCTTTCCAGGTAGCCTTGTCAAGACGAGAGAAATTGTACGTGACCACGGGCAGAAACCTTGCTCTGAAAAGGAAGCAAGGCTTTTCTTGAGTGAGTGTTTGGAGCATAACTTCCGACCGCCATCCGACCCAGAAAGAAAGTGTTCAGTTCTTGTTTCGGAGTTCTGTCAACGATACCAAATCAACAACGCAGGAACGGAACAAATCCAGGCGATATACCGCAGAGGCTTTGAATCATTTGTTTCATTGGAGGTTCCAATTTCCAGGGATAGGACGAATAACAAGTGGTTATTTGAAAAGCTCAAGAAACACGACCCTAATTTTTCTTCTCACTCTTGGATTCCACGAGATATGGAGAACATTGGTGGCGACAGAGCAATCCACCACACTATTCGACTGCTTCAATTCTTTGGCGCAATTGTATCGCAGATAGAAGAAGACGGAGGAATTGCTATAACACCGGGATTCTTTGGACCTAAATGGGAGCCAAGTAGGTCTGGCAAAATTCATGAGGATATGGATGATTTGCTGATGTCGGAAATTCTGCCAAAGTGGTTCCTCCTTAGCCGGGATGGAATCCTCGGTAAGACAGATCTCCCAAGACAGAACGAGCTTGCCACGTTCTGGACATGTATGAAGGAGTACTTCAACGCCCCGACAAATCCAGTTCGCTGGTCGATTGCATTTGCGGTACATGCAATGCTAACTGCCATCATCGAAACAGATGGAGTAATCGACGACACAATGATTTCAAGCCAGATTTCTTTTGAATCTTTCTTCGCACAGCTGGACAGAGCTACTCAAATGAAGAAGATGGAGGCCAAGAACCTCAAGACTCCTCTCTTCAAGCATAATATGGCCATCGGAAAGTATCTCAGGAACTTCGGCCGCCCATTGTACGGTAACCGCTCCATGTGGAATCCACTGTGTGGAGGTACCCTTCTAACCTACGTCGCCTTCTTTGGAAACCTCGAGGTTGGCTGTACCCTGATTGATGAACGCTCTCAATTGAGGATGGTATTGCATCTATACCATGCTCTGGTCGTCAACAAGATGCTAAAAAGGGGTGAAGCTCCTTTGGTCGACACATTATTCGACATATTTCAAAAGAGCCAAGCTATCTGGGGTGGAACACGCCCTACGAAGGGTCGATTTGTTAAGGAATTTTGGCTGTCCATGGGAGCAGATACGAGCTTTGCTGCAAAGATGAGTAGCGAAGCCTGCGAGTTCATACAAAAAGTATCTTCCAATCGAGCAGACCACCCGGTGTGTGAGGATTTAGCTTCTATGGACACCCTCAGCATACCACCCATTGAGCCATCGGAAATATGTACAAGCTTTCGACGCATTTGCAATCGTGACTTTCACGATGTGGTCGACAACTACCACACCCCAGAGCAACGTAGAATTGGTGTTGGAAGTGACTCCTACACGTTGGCAGTTCAGACCAATGACACCCTGGATGCCATCGACAATGAACAGCAAACTCTTGCTTTGAACCTATCCAGCGTTGGAACTTATCTTGAGCAGTTCATTTTCGAATTGTCGGCCGTTTTCAAATGGGATCCAATATTGGATCGTTCATCCCAAGAGCCGTCTGATTTTGGGCTAGGCAGACGACGAGTTGTTGTTCACATGTTTGCCCAAAATCTACTTGGAGCACTCGATTATGCAACGGATCCGATGGAGCTGAAGATCTGTGAAGTTCCACAGGGACGAACAGCTCACGCAATGATGACTAAGCTGTTGCGTATACCCCCTCGCGAAGTCACTTGGTTTCAAGCGACGGGAGAAGTTACGGAAGTGATAACGGATCGCACGAACATCTAGACCCACTTTTATCTCATTAAAAAAATAACTAGATCTCTGTCGTCAATCAATACCGAAAAATATAGAGTAGGGATGTTTCTATGGCCGTCTACTGGTAGAGGTCCATATATCCAACATTCAATCTCGAATCTATAATCAATCTATATCACTATTGAAAATCGTTCGCCATCAATCGACTTCTCCGACTTCGTTTCATTCAGCATTCAATACATAATACCGGTACTGTATCATAATACCGATATATAAAAGCAGGTCTTTCGATCATCATGCCGCAAGGAAAGAAGAACAAAGGAGGACGAGGTCGCAACAACAAAAAGAAGAAGGGAGCAGGTCATGGAAAGAATTCTCGTCAAAGACCTGGTGCAGCTCGAACTCCAGCTCGTACACTGCCTTCTGGCGATTTGCCTCTGCGACCCGAACATGCCTTGGAGGGGTCTGCACCCAACTACCAAGCCTTTATGCAAGGTGAAAAAACCCTCCATGAGAACTATCCAACCATTTACTCTAGGTACAAGGCTGCGACCAAACGAGTCTTCAAATACATGCAAGACAATACCCCAGAGAGTCTTCATGGCAACAGAATGACTGTCAATTCGTTGATGGCGGCAGCTGATTGGATGGAAGAAAACAATTTCACAGTGGATCCTGCCATATTGAAGGATTTGAAGCTTTCTATTCGAGTCCGATCCAGAGTTGCTAGAGCGATATTTGGAGGTGGTGACTCGGGACACAAGCATCTTTTGACAGTTTTGGTGTATTGTTGGGGTGTTATGGTTTCACTGCAAAGGGCAGCCACAAAGCCCAAGGGAATTGAACAAGAGGCGCAAGAAAATCTATCATTGGCAGACGAAGATGTCACCGCATCTAGAAATCGCTTTGAAGCTCTCAACGATGAAGACATGGACGACGAAGAGACTGACGAAACCCACTTCCCATCGAAACGAGTGCCTCGTCCGGAAACAGAACCAGAACCAATGTCGCTAGAAGAACTCATCGAATCAGATGATCGATATGACATCACCTTGTTCTTGCTTTCTATGAATGAACTAATGGGTGCAGTGTCGCAGCAGTTTGGAGCAGTTGGAAGACAAGTGGTTCTGAATGCACAAGAGGACGTTCCAGGTACTGCAATTGTGGAAGGTTTGATTGAAGCAGCGACCGGAACTAATATGGCCATCCAACAAATGCAACGACTCGAAATGGACTTTGAATCCCAGCATCCGCACCTTTCGACTCCGTATCGGGTCTTGTCGACATTTGTTCTCCCCGAGGTCATTGAAGAAATCACCAAGACTGTTCGGACGCATGGCCAGAAACGATGTTCGGAAAAGGAAGTATCCATCTTCTTGGGCGATTGTCTGGAATGTAGTTTTCGATCGAGGTCTGATCCAGAAAACAAAAGCGAAGTGATCGTACAAGAGTTTTGCAACCAATACCAAATCAGCAATGAAGGCACAAAGGACATCGAGAACGTTTTCCTTGGGCTTGCGAACCTCTTTATCATGGAGATTCCTGTAGGACAAGAAGTGGACATGAACACGTGGATGGTAAAGGAATTCAAGAGTCATGATCCAAACTTTGGATCTCACCGTTGGATTCCACAATATATGAATTTCATTGGAGGTGACCGTGCCATTCACCACACGTTGAGGCTGCTACAAAGTTTTGGCACAGTAGTCAAGAATACGAGAAATGACGAACAAGTCTTGGCTCGAAAGGGATTCTTTGGAACGTCCCCGTGGGAATCGGGGAGATCGAGTAAAATCCATAACGATCTTGATGAGTTGCTCATGGCTGATATTCTGCCGCAGTGGTTTCTACTTTGTCGCAACGGCATTTTAGGCAAGGCCCATCTGCCAAGGCAGAACGAGATTAGTCCACTATGGGTCTGCATGAAGAATTTTTTTGACAATCCAACAAGGCCAGTGAGCTGGTCATGCCTCTTTGCGGTACACGCAATACTGACGGCTGTCTTGGAGACGGACAAGGTGGAATCAACTATCACACTCTGTAGTCAAGCCGCCTTTGAAGCCTTCTTCTGGCAGCTTGACAAAGCCGCTGATGTCAAGAAGACAGAAGTGGATGCAGTTGAAAGTCCATCCTACAAGACGAACATGGCACTTGCCAAGTTCTTGAAGAATTTTGGTCTTCCGGTCTTTGGTGACCGTGCAGTATGGAACCCACTGTGCGGTGGTACACTATTTTCTTACATTGCTTTGTTCGGAAATCTTGAAGCTGGCTGTTGCTTGATTGACGATCGTGCCCAGCTGAGAATGGTGCTTCATTTGTATCATTCTTTGATCGTGAACGATATTCTTGAAAGGGGTAAAATCCCTTTACTTGACATCCTGTTCGATACATTCAAGAATAGTCGCGGCATTTGGGAAGGCCCATTGCCCAAGAAGGGTCAATTCGTAGAACGATTCTGGGTATCGTTTGGATCCAATAGGCCACATGCCGCAGACATGGCTAAGAAATCACGGGAGATACTGCAAACTTTGGCAAGCAGCAATCAAAAGAATCCGTTTGGAAATTACCGGTCAGATCGACGCAAGCTGAGCCCTATCGAACCATCAGAACTTGCTACGAGCTTCCGGCGGATTTGCAACCGCGACTTTCACGACGTCGTTGACACGTATCACACGCCAGAACAACGTCAGCACAGTCGTGGCTCGGACCATTATACTTTTGCGATTCAGATGAACGATACCCTTGATAGGATAGACGAAGAGCAGCAACTGTATTCTCTGAACTTGCCCGCTTTGGGTGTATACCTCGAGCAATTTATCTGCAGCTTGTCACGTATTTTCCAATGGGATCCTATCTTGGTCTCCGCTCAAGCACAACATGCAGCTCTCGGGCAAGACAAACGGCAAGGGGTGGCATACATGTTTGCCCAGTATCTACTTGGAGCTCTCGATTTTGGAACCGACCCTTTGAATATGAGATTCTTTGATGTTCCACAAGGTCTTGTATCTTCAGAATTCATGTCCATCTTTTTCAACAAAATTGACATAAGTCAAGTCATTTGGTTTCAAGCAATTCAGGAAGAAGACTAGCGGAAATGAAAAAAATAATGAAGATAGTGATTGCTAGTTTACACTGTTTTTAACTCGATGATGTCCATTTGCCTAGTATTGGTTGGTCCGGATCATCGACCACTTCTTCGACAACTTCATCGTCCCAGAACTCCTCATCAGCGGATGAGCTTAAGAAAAGTTCTTCTTCGTCTTCATCGTCTTCCACGTACTCAATTTCGTACTCTTCGTCCACCTCTTCCTCGTAAGAGGAGGACGACGAATATCTTTCAGCGGGAGGAGATGGAATCATCCCAACACCGAATGCGTTATCCGCATCCCCAAATGCATTGTCTGGATCTCCAAATTTATTCGCGTTGCGGCGATCCGATGACGAAAGTGTGACATTCTCTTCACTCTCATCCTCATCGCTGCCACTGCCGCTGCCACTGCCGCTGCCACTGCCGCTGCCACTGCCGCTGCCACTACCACTGCTACTTTCTGAGGAGAGTCCGCTATCGTCTGATGTTGGAATCTCAATCTCTCCACCCGACATTGACGGATGATTCGAGCCCGAAAATCCGCCAGTCGCACTGTAGCCAGAAACTGAATTGGCGCTACTGATTGGACGTTTTTTATTCGAAGGAAGATTAGGGTCACCGCCACCGACAGATTGTGCACCACTGATGGACTTTCGGTCGTCCCCAGACACAGAGTTGACACCCGAGAAGGCGTCGAGTGGATTTGGACGACCAGATACCGGAGGTTTGAAAGCATTCTTATTACCCATGGGGCTTCTGATTGGTCCCAAACCGTATGCAGCCTTTCTTGCCTCTGCTGCAGCCGTACTTTTTGACGAATCCCCAAACGACCCTGAAGTCGGTACCGCACTTGGCCTCGTGGTGCTATTGCTATTACTATTACTTCGGTTCGGTGACGAAATACCACCAGCATTGCTGGTTCTCGTAGAACCTGGCCTGGGCTGTCTCCCTCCCGCTTGATTCATCCTGCCAGCGTTCAAACGAGCCGTTGGTGGCTTTATTGGAGAAGGGTGCGGATTGGGTGGGCCAAATTCTCTTGTGGAAGGATGCGGGTTGGGTGCTCCAAAGGAATCATTAGAAGGACTTGCTTGTGGTCGAGTCACCGAGTTGTTTACAGCATCTGCTCCTGCTGGCCGACCTCCTGGTTGACCAAATGCGTTGCTGTTAATATTAGACGGTGGAGGCCTGTAGTTCGGTCCAGCATTCTGGATTGGCCGTTTTAACTCGCCAATGTTATTGTCTGTCCGGGTCGATAGATTGTCTGTATACTGCCGACCGTTTCGTCGGCGGTTGCACCAGATGAGACCAAGGACAACGATAAGAAGCAATCCGGCGACTCCAATTGTGACAATGGCCCAAAGCGGGAGTGGGAGGCCGTCGTCGTCGTCGGTATCCGTGGGTCCGGGAAGAAATGGTTCAAAGGTTGGAAATAACGTTGGTGACGGAGTGTCGTCCACACTCTCCGGAAAGGGATCCGTATCCAAGTCCCGATCATTGATACCAAGTATCCTATTGTCAAGGTTCTGCAGGTTGCCACTTGAAATGGCACGTTCAATAGTGTCCTTGATCGCTTCAATTGCGAACTGACTCAATTTCTCTTGGGAATAGACTGTAAGCTGACCGAAAACTGGGAAGCATTCAAAACCAAGACTTGATCCACTGCAAATTACTGAATTGAGAGAAGAAGGAACAAGACGTGAGCTTTACGACTGCTGTTTTGCAACAAATAATAACCGTGCACACAATAGTATTTCCCTTACCATCATCGACAACCTGGTCCTTTGGTCTGCTACTGAGCCCAGTAAGTCTGGTTTGTTGCAAGTGTCTCCCTCCATCCCTTTTGTGGATGTGCCTCCGATCGGAATCATCGGCATCCCATTGAAGCGAAGCACTCGTGGTGAAGCTACCCCCACCGCCTGAGTGACTTTGATGTCGACGCTCTTCCGTTCTGGATTTAGCCATCACTGGGAACATACCGCTACCTGTGTGAATATGAAGTCGTTCTGGGGTTTCTTCGGTAAGGGTCTCTTCGTCTTCTTGTGGAACTTCCCTGTTTCCAGACGAGCCCGAGGCTGACGTAGGACTACACGAATCCGCAAACAGCACTGGAATGATGGCATTTGAGATACCCTCTTCCATAGCGCTAATCATTGATATTTGTTGTTCCGTAGTTGGAGTACCAAATACAATGAGCTCATAGGCGAACGGGATCACTTCGGCAACACCAATCTGAGCACCAAATAGTCCATCTCGGTTAACCACACAATTCCGAGGGGGTGGCTCCATTGCCGTTGGAGAAGGTGTCCGAGGACTTGGTGTTGGTCCTGGCGGGTTTGTTGGTATTTCCTTTTGTGGTTCCTGCGTTGGGGACGGCGTCTGGATGAGTGGAAGCGTCGGTGAAAATGTGCTTGGTGGTGGAGGCATGGTTGGTGCCGGTGTGGTTTCCGTTATCGTTGTTGGCTGCGACGTTGGTGGCATGGTCGTTCCACCAGTGTCGTCACTGTAGTAACCACCACCCGATCCGCCTTTTCCAACGCCACCCTTTCCACCACCTTTTCCACTCTTTTTGCTGCTCCTTGAGCTACTGCTGTATGAATTATACCCCCCATATGACTTGCCATGATTGTGGTCAAAAATATTGTCCCTACTCGAGCTGCTGCTGCTGCTGGATTTTTTGACTCCCCTTCTTCCCCTAGTCTCTTCAAACCCAAGATCATGTGATGACAAACGTCGCTCTTTCCCCGTGTGTAGAATCGTAATAAAATCTTCCTGATCCAAACTATCATTGATAATTTCGTTGTTGTGGTTGTTGTTATCTATTCTCCCATCGGCATTAGTATTTGAGGTATATCCTGATGACCGTGAAGTAGCTTGCCATCGTGAACTTGCGTTTGCAAGAATTGCCAGCGTGGATATGAGGAGTAGGGATTGTTGCATTTTGTTTCTCTTTATATTTCTCGGTATCACTTAATTTCCAGTGTGGTTGAGGTTCTTTGTGCGATTTGAAATTTAACTTTTTTCGCCTTGTGCCTCAAGCTTCTGCTGACTTCCTGTCGTTAGCAGCGCTTGATTGATATCACTGGATAGTTACGACTGGTGTTTGGATGACCCCGCAACACCCATCGGACTTCGGGTGGGAGAGAGGATTTGTTGAATTTATTGTTGATGATCGCACACAATTTTGATAAGCCGGCAGCCAAATTTATTGCGCGAACCTCGGTGCTTCTAAGTAACCTTGAAAAGTCGCCAGATTTACATGCGGTATTTCAATGTCGCCGATGTGTCTTCTGACATTTTTCTCTCACGACTCCCGAGGAGTATTTTTGGTTCCGCTGCTTGGAAGTTTGTGGCTCAAGACTCACTCTCCCCCTTCCGAGTGACGATACACTACACTATTGAGAGTTTGATGCTCTATGAAAGAAGTCATTTGGTTGGGCATTTTTGAAGCAAAAAGTCATTTGGAACGTTCTCAACAACCTCTCGTTTGTGAGCTCAAGCTCTCAGTCCAAGCCCAAGCTCTCCAGAAACGCTAACGCGACTGCTGGAGCTTTGGGAGTGGTGCTGTGTCATCCCCCCATCCCCTAAAAGAGCCCCTTCTTCTAATGCCTGTCATACCGTCCGCCTCTGCAAAACATCGCGACCATCATCGCATAAAATATCATCGAAACTCTACGGCGGTACGCGATTGTACTTTCAAACCGTGTGGCTTCCTATAGCTTATTTCAAGACTATTACACAACAGCATGGGTCGCTATTCCTCAGTTCAATCGTATGCGGACAACAACAAAGCTGTCCGCACAATCCCCTATGATCAGGCCACAGGATCTGCGGAACCCAAAAAGGGCAAAGTCGTTGTGGAAAAGGTCTCCAATCCGTATGGTTCCACAGCCGGTGCTGGTTCGGGAGAGTTTCATATTTATCGACATGCCCGGGCCAGAGAGATGGAACGTTGGAAAAACATTGATGAACAGGAGCGAGCGATTAAAGCAGAACGAGAATTTGAGCAAAGCATTCATCAAGCCAAGACGGAAGAAGAACGCAAGACGGACAAGCGACGAAAGAAGCGACAACGGGAAAAGGAAGCCAGGTTGCGAAAGAAGAATCTAAAAGCGGCTGGAATTTATCTTGGTAAAGCTCCTCCCGCTCAATTAGCATCAGCATCTGCATCAGCATCATCTACAAGCAATCCATCGGCAGCTGCGGACAATGACAAGGAAGAATTTGCATACGTTCCCTTGGCGGAACAACAAAAGGCAGAAGAGGCAAAGGCCAAGGAAGAAGAAGGAGCGAATGGAGACTCCAAGGAAGCAGCAGACGAGCCGAAGAAGGACCCGGTAGAAGAGATTCCTAACGATGGATCCTTTTTGGAAATGATGAAGCGACGGTTGGCGGAAGAAGCTGCGTCAAATAAGGCACCAAGCGATTCAAATAAGGCTGATGACGAAGATGACGAAGATGAAACCAGTTCAGAACCACCACCCAGAAAAAAGATGCTCTTGGAAACAAGAATCATTGACGAAGACGACGAAGGGCCAATGCTCCCACCTGCTTTTAGCTAATACGATTCAATAAAGACACTTTGGGGATGCGGGAAGTGTACAGATCATTATATAGGATCAACATCATCACATTACATCAATATTATTGTACAATGATCCCAGCTATCATTACTATAGTCACTAGCAACTTCTTTACTCACTCTTCAATACTATTCAAATTAGCAATGGACAATTTTCCAAAATTTCTCAGGGATTGGTTCATGGATCTGCTTTTCATCAAGTCTGATTCCGAATTGCGCCGCAGCATGGCCTTTTCTCGATCCAGCCGTTTCAACCACCCGGTATCCAAAATTTGCACAATGGTCGCTCGTTCCACTGGATCCACCTTCAACAAGTCTCGAATCAACTTTTTGGGTGCTTCCGATATCTCGGACCAATATTTGGGATGGAATTCATATTCCCCCGCACAGACAATCTTGTGCATTTCAATCGGTTCTCCGTCAAAGGGAACGTAGCCCGCCAACAACAGGTACACAACAACGGCCGCACTCCACAGGTCACACTTTTCATCGTACCCGGATCGTTGCAAATAAATTTCGGGTGCCACATATTGAGGCGTCCCGCACATGGTCACGAGTACCGTATCTTCCTCCAGTTCCTTCGCACACCCAAAGTCGGCCAATTTGATTTTGGTGTCATCAAACTTATTTTCCAGCAGTATATTCTCTGGTTTGATATCTCGATGGACAATTCGTTTCTTGTGACAATAATAAATGGCTTCAAAGAGTCGTCGGGCCAATCGACGGCATTCGGCTTCTGGGTAGTATTCCTTTTCGGCAATCTTGTCCAACAAATCTCCACCATTCATTTCTTCCATAATGATAAAGGTCCGGTCGTAGGCATAAAAGACATCCAACAGACGGACAATGTACGGAATCTCTCGTAATTTCTTCATTGTGTTGATTTCTTCCTTGAAAGAATTCCCTTCGGCATCCTCGTATCCTTCGTTTTGAATCTCCTTGACGGCATACAAATTGCCCCGTTCCTTGTGCTTGCATCGATGGACGACGGCAAAACCACCTTCTCCTAAATAATCTTCCTTTTCGTAGCACTCGTCAAAGGTCTTGTTGGCGGCAGAATCATTGACTATCAGCGACAATCTTGATTTGGAATCTCCTCGTTCGAAATAGGAACTCAAGTCTTTTTTTAGCAACGCGGGCCGTGGTTGCCCCCCCGGAGACATGAACGAGTTGCGGATTTTGGCAACCGTAAGACCCTTGTCATCGTCACTGTCGTGACCATTATCATTATCAGTTTTGTCTTTGGTTCCTTTCTTTGGTTCCTTTTTTGATTTCTTGGTGGTAACGGAAGGATTTCGTTGGAACCCGGTGTACCGTATTTGCTGAAAGAGGATTCTCTGAGACTTCCATTCCACCTTGCCAGACTCTTCATTTCGTCTCGGAACGCGCCGAAAACCCATGTGTCTTACATGCTTTCTCATCTCTTGTTCCTCCTCATTCTTGTTTACTACTTTCGTATTGGTTTCCTCCATTATAATGTATTTCTGTGTGTGTGCGCGTGTGTGTGTGTTGAAAGTTGTGTCTGCGATGTTAGATGTCTTCAGACGTGAGGTTGAACGTGAAACTCTTGCTACAGTACTTTTCAGACTAGAGGAATTGAAGCTGCTCTTTGAACGATGATTGTTTCAATGCACGTATGAGTGATGATAATAAGTCGTGAAGATATCGTTGTTTACATATACTGTAGGTTTACTGTGCGTCTCGCGAATCAATCGACATATATGTGCGATGTGCGTATCTCATGATACATCGCAGCCGGCAGACTAAAAGGAGATTTCGAAGTCGCTCGAAATAATAAATCGCAGGCAGGCAGGCCGTCTTCTTTTGATCAGTCGAAGGAGTCAATAAAACTCAAAAAGGCATCGCATCGCATGTGACAAAGTTACTTAGGTAAAAATGCCTCCTTAAGTCATTTTCTCAATTATGGAACGAAAGAAAGCCGCGAGAGAAGATGCGCATCCCAAAAACGGCAGCAGATTGCGATTGAAGGGTCATCACGCACTTACAGGATTCACAAAACAAAGCGTTGGCTTGTGGACAATAGAGACAATAGCTTTCAAAAAGTAGACATTGGCGGGTCTCGAAAGACACAATTAAGGCAACCACCACAGTAGGAACAATCCACGATCAGACTTTGAACTTCCAGCTGGAAGACACTACAAGATACAAAATCTATCGCTACTGTAGCTAGCTGATCAGCAATAACAACAACCACAACCACAACAACAACAACAACACACGCACACACTACAATCTTCGCTCGCTCCCATCCTCATTATCATCATCATCATCATCATTGGTTCAACGTAACGCTTTGATGGACAAAAACCCCAAACAACCGAGGTCTCGGTCTCACAACAGTAACACTGGCACTAACGATTATCAATCCAGCAATTATTCGACTCAAAGCAGCGGCCACAGCCGATCGTCTCATGACAGAATGACACGCCGCGGCCAGAGACAACAACAGCAGCAGCAACAACAAGGTTACGACGATGATGACTTTTCCGTCGCTCCTTCCATGGACCAAGATGTCAAATCGGTAGTCTCGGTTAGTTTTGATGACGTTTATCAGCGTGGGCGCAAATTGGGATTGGGTGCCTTTGCCGTAGTCTTTGTCGGGACTCATCGACCCACTGGGGCCGAATACGCTGTCAAACAAATTGATCGATCCACCATGGTCTGGGGAGATCGAGATGCCCTCCAAGATGAAATTGCCAATCTCAAATTGGCCCGGGAGGGACCCAATATTGTGCAACTATATGAAGTGTACGAAGAGAGAGCCTTTTGTTATCTCATCATGGAACTCATGGAAGGTGGTGAGCTCTTGGAATATATCATTGAAAAGAAAACCTTTACCGAAACCGAAGCCCGGATTACCACCAGTTGCGTCTTGAAGGCACTGAGTTATATGCACGAACGCAGAGTCGCCCATCGAGACATCAAGCCCGAGAATTTATTGCTCAGCCAACACAAGGATTTGAAGTCAATCAAATTGGCCGATTTCTCCTTTGCCATGTACGTCAAGAAACGAAATGAATGCCGTACACTTTGCGGTACTCCGGGATACTTGGCACCGGAAATGTTGGAGCGATTCCCTGCCTATGATGTCAAATGCGATGTTTGGTCTGCGGGATGTTTGCTCTTTTTGCTCATTGGGGGATACCTCCCCTTTGATGACGAGGATGATGAAGTTATCTTTGATTTAACTCGAGATGGATACTTTGAGTTCCAACCTGAATTCTTCAGTGGGGTCAGTACGGGGGCCAAGGAATTGATTACCAGAATGTTGACGGTCAATGCCAAGAAACGTATCTCCTCCTCGAACGCTTTGAAGTGTGACTGGATCGTCAACGGTGATGCCGAAGTGGAAGAACGACAGTTGAATGTCAAGAAAATCCAGAACTTGCTGGAAGGAAAGAGAAAATTGCGGGCGGGTATTGCTACGGTACGTAATTGATGACGATGATGGTGAAAATGATGAAAAGGGTTTGTTTTGGTGCTGTATTCTTTGGACAAGCCTTAATGCTAATCCTTTTTTCTCTTTCTTTACAGCTCATTACGGCAAACCGTGTGAAACAGCTGAACGATGGCTTTTCCGAATACTTGGAGAAACGCAAGAACGAAAATGCCGAGAATCGAATTGGCAAAAAGCAGAAGGAAAGTCGAGAGGAACGTTTTGTCGAAGACAGCCTCACGGGACAACCATTTGAAGATTTCTATGAAATTGGAGAAGAACTCGGAGAGGGTGGTTATGCCTTCGTCTATCGTTGCGAGCACAAGCGCACGAAAAAGACCTATGCGGTCAAGGAAGTCGTCATCTCCAAGATGGAAAATGGAGGAGAATCCACCCTCAAGGATGAGATTGCCGCCCTCAAAATGCTGCGAGGAGGTTCTCATATCGTACGACTGTTTGATGTCTTTTACGATGATGATTCCTGTTTTATGGTCATGGAAGAAATGAAGGGTGGTGACTTGCTGTCGAGAATTGTCGACAAGGAAGTTTATACAGAACGTGAGGCTCGAGGAGTCTGCAAGGTTTTGTTCGAAGCTGTCTTGTACTGTCATCACATGAAGGTGGCCCATCGTGATATCAAGCCTGAGAATCTTTTGTTGGTCGTGAGTACTTTTCTTGTGTTTGTGTTGACGTTGTTCCGTGTTGCCGCGTCGCATAGTATTGTCAGGACTGTGATTAAAACTCACACTTACACGCCTCTAATTATTCCTTCGTATTCAAAACTATAGAACGAAAATGACGATGCGACTGTGAAACTGGCCGATTTTGGTTTTGCCAAGCGTGTGACGGGAGAAAAGTCCTTGAGTACACTTTGTGGTACCGCTCAGTATGTTGCACCCGAAATTTTGGACTATCAAGTCAATGGATACGATGAAACATGTGATATGTGGTCCGTTGGTGTGGTAACCTACATTCTGTTGGGCGGATACGCTCCTTTCGAAGGTCCGGCTGACGAATTGGCTCAATTCATTATTCGCGGAGATTACGAGTTCCACGACAAATACTGGGCTGATATTTCAGAGTCAGCCAAGGATATGATTGCACACATGTTGACAGTCGATCCTGCAGAACGCGTGACTGCTGAAGGAGCACTGCAATGTGAATGGATGGGTCTAGACGCCGAACAACTTGCGTCGAAGGATTTGGGAGGTAACCGAGCGGGATTGCAAGCAACACATTCCAAGATGACTAGCACAGACACTGGAGATGCCAAGAAGGCTTTGCAAGCCCTCATCAAGACTAACAAATTCTTGTCTCTTGGTGGCATGACCCCCCTGCAAGAAGGTAACGAGAACACACCAAAGATTGAAGACTTGGCGGAAGACGATTTCGAGGATGTCTACGAATGGGGCCGCCAGATTGGAATCGGCACCTTTTCAGTCATTCACGAATGTACCCACTTCGACACCGAAGACCTCTATGCTGTCAAGCGTATTCCTCGTGTCGACCTATGGGAAGAAGATGCCGAGGCGCTGCGTAGCGAGATTACGTGTTTGAAGATGTTGACCGAGTGCAGCTGCGTCGTACAGCTCAAGGAAGTTTTTGATGAAGTCGACTTTACATACATGGTAATGGAACGTTTGATGGGAGGATACTTGATTGATAAGATCATTGAAAAGGAATGCTATGACGAACCCGAAGGTTTGATCGTCGCCAAACGTCTTTTGACAGGAGTGGCGTTCTGTCACGAACGGCGGATAGCCATCCGTGACTTGAAGCCTGAGAATGTGCTGCTGGTAAGTAGTTGGAATATTTATGACGTGTGCTCTCTCTCCTCCTCAGGCGCCTTCTCATGCGATGCTTTGCTTTTTGCATTTGATAGGTCGAAGGAAGTGATACAAGAGTCAAGATTACGGACTTTGGATATGCCAAGAAGCTTCTTCAGCCCAATTCGTTGACTACTGTTTGTGGTACGGAGGGTTTTGTTGCCCCCGAGATTATTGAACACAACCCAGAGTACGATGTTGAATGTGATATCTGGAGTTTGGGTGTTCTCATTTACGTCGTGCTGGGAGGATACCGACCCTTCAGAGGGGAGGGCAACGAGTGCATGGAGAAGATCCGATACGGAATTTTCGCGTTCCACAAGAAGTACTGGAGTCACGTTTCAGACGAAGCCCGAACGCTCATCGAGGAGATGTTGACAGTCGACGTCCAAGAACGTATCACAGCCCAAGAGGCTTTGGAGAGCGCTTGGATTGCGAACTTGGAACGAAAGAAGAAGGCAAAGAAAAAGAAGGGTGCCAAGAGCAGAAGTAAGTCACCTAAGAGTGAACAGTACTGAGATTGATACAGGCTTTCTACAAGTGTCACTAGTATGATTTCAATTGGATGTCATACATGTCTCGATGCAAGTTAATAGCATGGCGTTGAATTATAATTTACATAGTATTGTTCTTGGTCCATAGGGTATGTCCTTGTATTCTTTATCAGCCGTTTGTTTGTACACAAATAATTATTTCGATTGTAGCGCGCGGGATCTATGTGTCCCATGCAATGGTTACCTGATGTTCTGGCATGTTGACAGCTTCATCTGGTAAATCGAATTCGAGTAGCTTGGTTTCTTTGTTGTAGTTGAATGGTAGCTCTGAAGGCACTGAGTCGGTGCCAAGGATGATGTTCGATGGGCACGGATCACAGTAAGCTACCATCTTCCCAGGCCCACGAGCCGAGAAACTGGTCGTTGTTGTTTTTCTGACTGCCTCCTCCCCAGCGATGGTGGTCATTTCTTCTAGTCCACTTTGATACAAGATGGCTCCGCCCGAGTTTAGCATGTCTCCCAATCCAATTGGGGCCCAGTTCACCCTGCAAGTGCTTTGAACGGGGACGATTGTAAAGATGTCCCACTGACGGGACTCAAGAGTAACTTCGATGGGTGAATCGCCACTATCCAATACCTCCAGACTTGCGGATCGATGATTCCAGACCGCAAAAGGTCCCTCCGAGGTTCGAAGTGTCTCGACGTCATGTGGTCGCACTTGTGTTACCACAGGAGCTGGAGAAGCATCAACTTCTTCATTCTCGTTTCTTTGGAAGTTCCATGCAACTCCCTGTGCATTGAAAGCTCCAATGATCCCACTTCCCGACTTGTTTGCATTCCAAATCTTCAGTGCACTCTTTCCATCTTTTCCGACGTCGGCAAACAAAGAGTCTCTGGTTGGGCGACCGGGCAGTTGGGCTCGGAGTACACTGCCATCTGGAAGTACAAGTTTTCGGAGGAGATGCACATCATGTTGGCCTGGCATGTCTGAGACGTAAACAGGGCAACCGCCAACTGCTCGAGCAGCGGCATGAAGTGCAGCAGACTCGTGCTTGGAATGAAACATATCCCAATCAGGTAGGCAGATTTCTCCCAAAAAGAGGGAGTTGTACGCAACGTTCACCAAATGGACAGAGTGAGACTCGGGTCTAAGCGGATAGAAGTCATCCGAGGCACGTGCAACCGCTGTGACCTTGTATCGGTACAAGTTCTCGGTCGAGTGGCACATGCAATTGATACAATCCACGGCACCGTTCGCATCAGACGCAAAGTTCTTGGAGACAGAATGTTCCATGGCTTCGGTGTAGATCTTTCCAACTTGAACACCAACTTGACCGATACCACTTCCGGCAGCAGATACACCAGACTGAACGTCAACCTTGACACCATCAATTCCAGCTTCTACCAGAGGTGCGTGCAAATGTTTGTAAAACTTGGCCAGATCCTTTTCGTGAGTCATCATGCCAACGCCGAACAGAGAGATGGTATCGAATCCCATTTGTGGTTCCATGCGCTTCAAGTGTTTGGTCGGTTTTGTCTTGACTTGAACGACATCGATACCAACCGAGTCGCCCAAGGTGGTTGTCACTCCTCTCCAATATCCGTGCAGCGCATGCCAGCAGTAGACTTTTTTGAGGCCCAAGTCAGTTTTCAATTCGTGAACAAGATCTTTCAACGAAAGACTTCCAGTCTTGCCCTTATCATTTTGGAACTTGAAGTTTGGTTCAAAGCTATCCAACTGTCTATTGAAATCGGTCTCGGAATCGAAAAAGTTCCAAAGACCCTTCTTCAGTATAGTCTTGGCCAGTATGGTCCATACCCGATTGGAGATGCCACCATGAGGAGCATGTTGCACACATTTGTCATAGTAGGCGCCGACGAGATGGGAAATCTGCGAAAAGGCAGCGTTTCCCACTTCTGAAAATAGGTTGGGTTGTTTCGTGGTTGCTGCTGCTGCTTTGTCAGTTTTGTCCCAGTCGGCTGGATGGGGTGAGACTTCTTGCCAGCCGTCATCCAGAATGACATTCCTTGGTGGAACACCGGCCTTTTTCAGATCCGAGACACCTTCCAAGATGCCTTCGGGATTCACCTTGGAGTAGAAGGCGTCCCATGTGCACCATCCAAAGTCATTGACGGATTCTGGGATTTCCTTTTGATGCAAAGTCCGGAAGGTTCCGAGGGTATCGGATACTTCTTGCATTCCTCTTTGGACGAGCTCGAATGGATCATTGCCAACAGCGACGTAGAGAGCCTTCATCGCCGAAGATGATGCGGGTGCTTCGCCACTTTCCGAGTAGCACATAATGTTGAGTTCGTCTTTGTTGTGGGTGGAAGGTTCCAAAGCAGCTCGGAAACCACCGTCGACCAGTGGCAAAAGGAGAGCATATGGTCCATGTTCTTCCATTTCCACCAACATGAATTGAGTTTCCACTGGAACATCCTTGGCGTGATTTCCAAAAGCAGGTCCCATCCAGTAGCGTGTCAATCGCGAGCACGTCAACATACGATTACAGGACACTAGATTTCCGAGCGTTAGTTCGTGCAGCGGCTGAAGGTCGGTATGTTGCACTTGCAAAAAGAGAGAGGAGCGATCCTCCTGCAGTTGCGCCTTCTCGCTCATGACGCTGGTCCATGTGTCTGGCTTCAAGCCATCCAATAGAAGGAGGTTGTCCTTTCCATTCTCTCCATTGACCACGGAAAGCTTCCCCTCCGCATCCAACCAGATTGCAGGTTTGTTATCGGGAGAGGTCGCTTTCTCAATAACCGTAATATCATGGTCTTGTTGAAAGTCAAATGGCATGTCATCTTGTTTCTCGAAATCTTCAAAATCGACTTCCGTATTAAGGTCATCGAGACTTCGACTCACCATTGGTCGGAATGTCTTTTGTTTGTTTGACATTCTTTTGGTGGTTGGTGCCACGTTAAAGGCATCCACATGATGATTGTGATTATCAGTAATTCCTGATGACAGTAGCAGGCAAAGGATAACAGGGAGGCATAGTAGCGTATCCGTATGCTGAGATTGCATCCTTAGTCGCTTCATTGCCTTGTGTATTTGTTTGTGATAGTGTATTGTGTGTTTTGTGATGGGTTATTGACACCTTGAATTTGGGTGGTTGACACTTTGAAGTTACGGTTTTGTCGTTTCGTGACATATTCTTCTTCTTGTAAACGTCGGAAGTTTTGACATTCCTGACATATTTTTGATGACTTTCCTGGCGTGAGTTTGTGGCGTCATCCTGACATGAAGACATCACTTATTATTGTCTTGTCGTTGCGACATGGAATAAGACCAAAACAAGCTGATTCCTTCGACCAACGCAGACGAAAAGCTGCCACAAAACTATTATATCATATCATGCTGATTCATTCATTCAGTAATTCCTGACTATTTTAAATATATATGACCAACGCAGATAGAAAGGTGATGATACCCATATTGTGACGCAAACAGAACATAATACAAGACCAACCAAGATGAAGACAATAGGAGAAATTCTTCTTGTAGCGGTTTGTCTTCAATCGAGCTTAGCGTTCCAAGCTCCTGTGACTAATACAGCATCCTTCAGTCGTCTGTCACCACCAACGTCGACATCTCGGCATGTTTCCAACGACGACAAGCAGGTCGTTTCACCAATTTCGGAAGCTGCAAACAATGACGACTCGAATACGCCATCAGCAGCACCATCATCATCATCGTCGTCGTCATCATCACCAGCAGCAACCGAACCGCAGGAATTCCGACGAGTAGTCGATACACGACCACCACCCACGGCGGATCAAATGATGTTGGCACTGGGGACCAATCCTCGACGACTCTTGCTGGGAAATTTGTCTGCCGCTGGAATTGCTTTGGCTGGAAACTTTTTAGGTGTGACTAGCAAACTACTAACGGCAGTGCCTGAAGAAGTTGTGGAAAAGACCTCGTTGGATACCTATTATCCCAGAGTGAGTAATGAAATGGTATCATATTGAAGAAATGAGATACTTCAATAATTTACGTTGTGGTTTTGATTGAGGCTTCTTCTCATTTACTTTTTCTTTTTTCTATCTTCTTCCTATGGCTACTAATTAGGGTGATTTCAAACGATGTCGGTCAAGAGGATACACCTTTGTCATTCCCAAAGAATGGGTCGCCGATACCTTTGTCGAACTCGCCAAAGCCCAACGTCGAATCCAACCATTGGATTATACTATGTCGGGACCAGGCAGCAGTCGACAACAGCAGCAACAACAACCCAATACTCTACCCGATGCCGCTTATGGTCCTGCTGGTCGGTTAAATTCCAAAGGAGTATCGGAATCGGGGGATACCAATGTGTCGGTCATTGTCAACAATGGTCTCAAGGGATTTTCCCTAATGGGAACACTGGGGACTCCTCAAAATGCTGCCGAATTTTTACTGAGTCGATCCATTGCCCCCGAAGGCAGTGGTCGAGTCGCTACCCTGCTCAATTCGTTTGAAGACAAGGACCGGAATGCCTATCAATTTGAATATATTTTGGATCGGGGATCTAGGGGACCGCCTTTGCGTAATATCGCAGTCATTGCCGGAAGCACCAAAGGCGATGCCTTTTACACCTTGACGGTGGTGGCACCCGCCACCCAATGGGAGAAGGAAGCGGTTTCAACGAAGCTGCGAAAAATTGCCAGCAGTTTTCATCTGACCGTGTAGCTAGTCAATATAGTAGTAAACCGAAGCTAGAATACTTGTATCTCAGTTCTAAACATGTCTATATCCACACACAATAAGGAATCCTCCAAGTACAGTGTACTACGGGCCAGAATAAAAATCTTTTCTTTCTCAAAAATCTTTTTGGCACTTGAAACCCGCGTACAATTTAAAATATTTTATCGAGCGGCTCGACTTTTGTTTGACCAGTATTTGTGTGTACTCCACACATAACCGTGTGTGGCTTGCTCGCGCTAGCATCGCGTACATACCATGTGCTACGTAAAAAACATATCCGTCTGCTCAGAAACGCGAGATGCACGATTCCAAAAAGTGCGTGCTCATTTTTGGTAAGATCGAGGGAATCACATTGGCAGCATAAATGATGACCACATCAGAACAACGTTTGAACAACAACCTTTGTACAACAACCTTTGCACAACAACAACAGTATACTACTACTATTAGCAAGCTTAGAAATCAAGACCGTAGACAAATACAGAACCAACATCAGACACCATTGGCTCCACCTACTGCTTTCAATCCACAATACTCAGCAAGCATAATGATGATGTCACAATCAAATGATACTACCAGTCCATCCCGTTCTTCCTCCCTTTCCAGCCTGGACCGAGAGACTTCAACAACATCATCCGTATCGGCACCCATTGAAATACAATGTGTGGATCCAGTCATTGCGTCCATCTTCCAACCAGGATTTGCCTCCAACTATGATCACGAAGATCATATCAACAATTCCGAACATGATCATCACATATGGCTCCACCAAGGAGAAAAGGAAAATGGCCTCCCTGACAACATTGAATACGTCATCATGGACGAACCAGGAGAAGAAATCCCCACAATAACGCGCAAGAGGAGCCGTGTCAGTTTCCTTCACAGACCCCATTTGGCTACAAATGCCAAAAATTGCCACCACCCTACTAGTACTACTGATACTAGTCCCAAGGTAGTCCAATTGTCGGAGCATGGTACACACTATGGCAAGGCACAGATACTAGCTTGGAGAACTCAACGAGCTTCCAAAGCAGCCCTTCGCAAAGCGCTGCAACTTCCCAAGAAACACAGCCCCAGGGCCAAGGCAGTCGCGTTGAAGTCGGTCGAGGTGGTCAAGGAAGTTTCAATCAAATCCGTGGAACTGGCCCTCAAACACAGTCCGATCAATTGTCATCACAACAACAATAACAACAGCAGTAACAACAACAACAGCAACAAGACGAAACTTTAGCTAACAAGAAGATACAAAAAGAATCACAAGAATAATAATGATCATCACAATATCATGATGAATGAATCACTGTCATCATCATCATGGCCATCAGCATCATCATCAAACAATCACAGCCCCCATCATTACATCATACTGCATGATTATTTGGCTGGAGCACAGCATAATGTTATTGCTTGGAGCTCCAGCTGTGTAACTTTATAACTATATAACCACGGCATTTCCCAATAGGAGATGCATTGTAGTTCTATAGTAAAATGGGTAGTTCATTCCAATAGCAAACGTGGGACCGTTCGCGCACCTTAACCCTAACCCGTCATCACTTTTCGATAGTCAAACTAGTCAAATCCAAGATTCCAATCCTGATTTCAACCGTTGACCATCTTTCAACATCATCGCATGATGGTATAGTATCATAAATTCATATTCTGCTCTAACTACTACCGCTACTACTGCATTCATGCCACCCTCCATTCACAATGGCATTCACAAGAAACAGCATCGAATGACGGACATCCAGCATCCAATCGTTATTTTGGAAGACGATGAGGCTCCTTCCTATCCCCATTACAATAATACAAGAGAAGAGTCCACTTCCTTGACCTCTCTTCCACCAGCCTTTAATCCCGAATTCCTGGGAGTAGCAGCAGCAGCAAAGCCAGTACCAGCCATGGCTCCAGTTCAAATACAAACGGCAGAAGACTTGAATGCTGTCGGCATCAAGGCATCATCGGCACCTGTAACTGCCGAAACGGTAGATCCTTTTATTGCCGCCGTCTTTCAGCATGGCTTTCATGACCAGGAAGTCATTGTGATTGATGATCGAGACGAAGACGAAGACTATTATGACGATTTCAGTCCAAGGTCGTGTTTGGACGAGCGTGACATGCTGGAAAAACGATTCCTTGTCCAAGAACCAAGACGCAAGGCAGAGGCTAGTATTGCAGCAGCAGCAAGGGCTGTTGATGATGATGACGATGATACGAGGACTGCTGCCACCGCATCTGCTTCTACAGTAATCGGGGGGTCAAATGCTGCCTCGTCATCTTCTGCAAGCTCCTCCTCCTCTTCCAGCATGCCCTCACATGTTTCTACAGCGCTTCTTGTTCCGGCAATTACCGGTCAGCATGTTCCACCTGGCACCAAGGCCAACCCTCCGAGTGAACCACGGTTCATTCCATTGACCCAACACCAGTCGCACTATGATCGTTTGTTGCCATATGCCCAAGTACTGGCATTCCAAACCAAATTACACACGCGGGCCGTTTTGGAACGCACCCTTCGCATCAAACAAAAGCACGGCCCTTTGGTCAAGCGAGTCGTCAAGAAGTCTTACAAGGCCATTCGATCCGTCTCCAAACGGTCCATTGCCTTGGCCGCTCATCATGGTCCAATCGTGGGACGTAAGGTCAAACGAGCGTCTATCCAAACTTTGGAAGGCATTCAAGAGTATGAAGCCAATCATCAAATCTTGGCCAAGTCAAAAGAAGGCATCCAGAATGTTTGGACTCGACAAATACGAGGAACACGGGCTTCGTTTTGAAAACCTAAAACACTTCTTTGTGAAACACTGATAAGATAGAACATACATTTTGCATCTGAAAATGCTACATCCGATTATAAACTCGTTTATTTGCGGTGCTACTCGTTCCGTGTGAACGATCCGATGTCTACCAGTTCTCGTGACGGTCGCGAGCAGAAGAATGTGCACCACAAAAGACTCTATTGAGTGATCGGAATCGGATTCGTATTGCTTGCTTCCAGGACCATGTGGGTTATCCCCCGGGCTCATCTTGTGAGAGCTCGCATGGAGCCTTCTCGGGAGCGAGAAGCCATGTCGGACGTTCTCATCTACAATAGTGAGTTTTTACTTGGGGTGTGCCCGAGATTGCCTTCGAAAGATGACGAATGAAACCTTTTTTCTTCTTTGAAACCTTTTTTCTTCTTCGAAGGGAGGATTTAACACCAACTCACTAATCCAGCAGTCTTCCATCGAGATAAGCTCTACTACAATTGATCATTGCTGCGATTCAATGATAATTGTCGAATGATTAATGACGTGAAATCTTGGACCTGAACTGAAAATCCTGGAAATGAGTTGGAATTCGGATTGTGGGCGATTGAGTTAGGGTTAGGGTTGGGCTGATACACTTCAGTCATGTACAGCCAAGCTTGGACAATTTCAAATTAGAATTGCTTTTCATGACTGGTGTTGGTACCAAAAACCATGCCTGTCAACAACGAGAGAAGTTTCGTGTTCGACTCGTGAATACGTCTGGGGTATATCAGTCCTAACGTCACCTTCCAGAAACATGCTCAGCAGTAGATCCTCCTATGCTACGGAAAATGGCAGAGAATCAATCAATGGGTGAATGATAAGATCGCAACAGTGGCCAAATCGTTGTTGTCCAACGGTAACTGAAAAATATGTACCGTGTGCAAAGTGGCCCGTCTTTTTTTCCCCGGGCAGCTTTGCTTTTATTACTTTGCGGGTACGTGAAAACTGAGATGTATATTACGCGGGTTTGGTGTTCGGGTGTCAGAAATTTTATTTAGTTTCAAGTTAAAATGTTTTTCGTCACAATTCCTCGACTCAGTCGACTAATTATTTGTTCTTAGTTTTTCAGCCTTTACGGCACGTTACACTGCTGACGAGAAGTTCGGGAACGAGGGAGCATTTGAGGGAACAAGGGACGTTTCGTCCAGCATTCAACCGTTTTTTCCCTTGTTTTCTCCCTTATTCCCTTTTTGCCTTTAAAACTCCCTTTTTGCCTTGAAAACTCCCTTTCTCCCTCGCTTCGAACCTCATTCCCTTGATTCTTCGCTTTTTGATCGACGTATTTTCCGCGAAAGTGATGCACATGAATAAATTGACATCGTGAAGAGGTCTTGCGAGCTCCGAATGTCTCCACCGATATCCATTGCGCAGACGTATTTATTTGATGTCTCCGTTTGAAAAGTGGAAATGGTAAGCTTGAGGCCAATGAACTCATCATCCACTGCTAGAAATTCCCTCGAACCCCTGACATTGTCTATATTATAGTCATATATATTTTGTGTATACGAAGCGACATGGAGGAATTTGCCCTATTTGCCTCTGAAATCACTGCTGAAGTACCTCCAAAAGGTCTGAAAACTACTTTTGGAGAGGTTTCGGGACGTCTACGAAGTCCCAAGGCAACATAGAGCTCGAATTTTCTGCGGAAGTTACTTCTCTTGTTATACGAAAGGCAATGATACCATTTTATGTGTTTTTATATGGGTTTCTACAGGACGATTTTCAACGGAGACCATTGAGTTGCAAATTCGTCGGTGACAATGAAATTGCACGGTCTGGACCCCATGAGCGGAGAAAGTGGAATTAGAGGTTGTGGCAAGCATAATTGATACCTGCGTTACGTCGGGAGTGGCGGTATTTATGTTGAATAATGTTTGCTGGGCCGCAATCACACAATAATCCACCATGATTGGTTCTGTTTGTTGCTTAGACTGGACGGATAGGTGTCAAGAAGACGTATTTGACGAATGCGACTCATATCTACCGTCACCATCAAGACCAAGATCTACGCAAATGTATATTTTTGGGATCTCAACTACCAAAATTGACGATTTGGAGCACATCAAGGTGCCATGGTGCGATTGTTCCCCACGTTTGGACAAGCCAGTGTGAACGCCCAGAGAAGTAAAAACCTCCGAACATGCTGTGGCAAGCGTAATTGATAGATAGACTATGGCTGGAGTGGCGATTCATACTTCCAATCGCCTCAATTACACTACAATCTACCCTGTTTCGTTCGACTGGTTCTGTCAGGTTGCAAAAACTGGTCGGCAGAAAGTCAAGAGGGCCAATGCCTCACATTCAACATGTGTTGGAAAGCTCGGCAGTGATCCTACCTACTCGGAGATCCAATCGGATGTGTTTTGTTTGGGTTACTTGCTGAGATATTGGAATTCCAGTGTTTGGTGCTGTCTGTTCCCCTTTCAGCATGAGGGTCGGTGTGGCCGCCCTGGAGACAGCCAACTATTCAACAATACACCAGAGCCTCCCTTGGATGCCTAATACTCAAATTTTCTGGGACCCAGGCAGTGGTTCCGCCTAGATTAAGAATCATGCCGCCCAAATGGGGTCAGAAATCATGGAAATCTTGTCCAAAAAGCCACTTAGTGGTGGTGTGGGCCGAATTTCCTAAAAATGACTTGTTCTAACACATATTTGTCGTCCATGGGTATGTATGAGAAGATCGGTGGCTTTGGAGTGGACGCTTTTTAGGTAAAAATGATTGAATAGCACTCACACTGCATTGAGGATCAATCCAGGTTCATTAAAGAGAGTGGCTGGAATCCTTCCCAGTAGCCGAGTCGATACCCTGACACGATGGCACCAAGTTCAAAGTTGTCAAAATACATATAGTAATCGAATTTGGGCGGTGGTTTGGAGGGCTCTGGCAAAAAAAAAAGATTCTAGGCCAGCATAATTTTTTCTTCCTTTCCTACTCCTCAATTGACTTTGTGGAATTCCTTAATATTATCGATTCTACTGAAAGAACTTTGATTCAGAGTATGCACAGATCTAGGAAAGATACATAATAAAAATATCGCCCGGAAATTTATCACAAATTGTAATGGGAACAAGGTCATATGGTGCAAGAGACGAGGCCTGTTACCTCTTAGTTTCTTCCACAGGAATACAATCTAATCAAATCACAGGAGTCAATTTTTAAATCCGACTCAATCGAATGTTAACGGTTCGATTTGAAATGTATGTGCATGGGCTATGATATGGGCAGGCTTGCGTGCAATCGTACTGCAAAAATGGGTACGTACAAATGTACCGTAGGCACCAGGTACCTGGTACCAGTAGTCCTTCATCACATCTTGAAAACACTCTTATTATTTGAGTTTGGGTTGTCTTCGATGTTTGACGCTTGAAGGATCAGACCAGGACGATGTCTGGGACATGAGACGGTAAGTCAAGGATGCTTGTGGTGACTTAAATCCTGGATTGCACTAACCGCAATCATTTCACATTACTGCACAGGTACAATATAGGATGCCAGTTATTTTTAGATTTGTTTCGAGCTGTCGTCATTGGCCAGAGAAATAGAGGGAAATCCAAGTGACCAGCTGTCAAACCAGACTGGAGTCAAAAAGTGTGATTGCACACGAAGAGCTTCAGACCTGTCATCAAACAAGACTACGTGTGATCAAACAAGACTATGTGATTGTGATTGATGAACACAAGCGCAACTGAACACTTTACTGGCGGCGCAAGCATGAATGGAAACCAGGCATTCAAGGCGAAACATACACACAGTGTGATGATCTGCTGTTGAACTGAAATGAGATGTGTACTACTAGTAACAGCGAATGTAAATTAATTTTCCTTTATCATTGTTGTAATATTGCACGCACTACATAGCAAAAGGTTTGAATTCAAATGGAACCGTAGAAATAGGATGGCCAGTGCTTCTTAGTTGCGGACTATATGAGAACCGTTAAACTGGAAGGTGGTTAACAAGGGAGGACGGGAACATGGTGGTAAACGAGGGAACGAGGGATTGCTAAAATGAATATGAGATGAGGGAACGAGGGAGTGTTCGAGGGAGGGCTCCCTTGTTTGCGCCAGGGCTCCCTTGTTTGCGCCAGGATTGGTACCGATTACCCTCGTTTATCCACTCGTTCCCTCGTTTTCGACCTTTTTCGCGCAGATTGTGCGCATCGTTTGGTTTCGTTTCGTAAAAAGGGAGCGAGGGTGCGCCTTGTTTCTTCCCTTGTTTCCGCCCTCGCTCCCGAACTTCTCGTCACCAGTGTACCATTTGCAGACCATACCCTGCACATTTGTATTGAATATGCGCCAACGAGAATTGTGAACGAAGAGTCCTCTGCACTTAGTACACGTTTAATCCATATTTACAGTTGGAGTCATTTTGCACTTAACACTGTGACATAATTTGGGATTTTACATTTTCTTTGCAGACGGGAATTCATACGTAGCTAAAGTACTAAGCGCTACGAGTA